ATCTTCCACCTGTTTCCGATGCTTTATCAAATTCCACAACTCCTCATCATAGTCCTTTTCCAAAAAATCTTCCTCCAACCTAGTACATAAAGAGTCCCAATCATTTACTGAATCTTTGATTCTTCTCAGCCATAATAGGGCTTTACCCTCAAATAAATCTAAAGCAGCATCGTAGAGCTGTTGTTTGGTCACATGCCTTGCTTCAGCTAATTCTTTAACTCTTTCAAGAAATGACTTTACACCTAAGGATTTTTTTGTCCCATCAAATTTGATATTCCATTTATAAATGGCAGGTGGCTTAGTAGATGTAGGCTGTGGAGTTCGAGGTTGACTAAATTGATTAAACATACCCATTAGGGAATTTGACAAATCATCTGAAACAGTTGGGGTAGTGTCAACTGTCAAAATTTTTCCTTCAAGAGTGGATTCCAATAAAACTGAAGTTGCATAGGCCTCATTTTTGAATAATACCTGTGCCCTATCTGCTTGGTCAACAGTCATTCGTTGAATTCGATCTCCTACATGACCTAACCTAGAACGTAATCTTTGGTACACTGAATCTTTGGTTGAACCGCTTTCAAAATCAGGAATAGAAGTCTCAATATTCCTCAAAGTAGCTTCAATTTCTGCCCTTTCCTCCGCAAATGAGTATCCGGTTACATTAAAAGTAGTTTGATCTTTATGTTTCTGAATAGCTTTTGCTAGTATACTTCTTTTTTCATTCATATTGCGATCTGTTATGATTCCCCTGATTCTAAGTTCATAGTTCAACTCATCTATCAATAAATGATTAGGTTTAAATTTAAAGGCAGCCATTATAGTAAAATATTTGAAGACTTAACTCAATTTTATTTAGGAAAAAGGGCTCAAGTATTAAATAGTTTCAAAAAAGGATTGATATTCAATCAAGGGTCACTCTGTATAATATCCTTTTTCAGGATTAAAAAAATTCAATTTTTGGATTCCGAATCCAAGTTCAAAGATTTCAATAATAATTTTCAATTTGAAAATTTAAATCATAATTGAACACTCAGTATGTGTTCATATTCAAGCAAAAATCAAAAATTTCCACAAAATTTCTTCAATTGATCAATCAATTTGGGCCAGCGGGCTACCAAACTTTGAACAAATTCAATTCAAAATCGAACACTCAGTAAGTATTCATGTGCATGCAAAAAATAACATTTTTCACTAAATACCATCAATTTTCAATTTGGGCCAGCGGGCTACCAAAATTTGAAAAAATTCAACTCAAAGTTGAACACTCAGTATGTGTTCATAAAATTCCTGGACCACCAATTATCAAGACACATTCCCTATATGTGCAAACAAAAACTGAAAATTTTACCAAACTTCTTTGCTTAGAAAAATATTAAATATTCAACTCAAAAGGTTTTGAGTTGCCTCTCAAAATAAACTCCAAATAGATGAATATCTTCATGAAATGAAAAGTAAAGAAATTTCACCATTGTACTGTTGATGGTTATCTGAACAACAAAAAAAAAATTATCCAAGTATGTTTGGAAAATAACTAACTCAGCTGAGTTCAACTAAATCAAAAGACTTCTTAAAATGTTAAAATCTCTTTAAAGAAACCACTACTTGACCACCAACCTTGAATGATTTCATGTTAATGAAAAAACATTTTTTTAACCATAACCTCTAGTAAAAAAAGTCCACAAGTGTTCTTTTATTTGTAGTAAAAGTATCACCCAGCAAAATCGGGCCCCACGTTGGGCGCCAATTTAATGATACGAACTTCACTACTTTTTATTTATTTTCATAAATAAAAATAAGTAAAGCAAGTCTCATAACTGGCTCCGGCAACTCTTGGGTCTGGTGAGCAAAGGCCTAGAGTTTTGACTTTGTTAGGTGGCTAGTTAGGCGCCACTTAGTTTGTTTTTTCAAGTGAAAAACTAAGAAAAGTTATATCTGGATGTTAAAACAAAACATGTCATAGAAATTTAATTTTATCCTGAAAGAAAATTAGAATCAGAAATAATAAAAGCACACTTGTGGTCTCAGGTTTTGTTTAATAAGAATTAATATTGTGATCAGCAAAATACACCATTTTTCATTTTTCACAGTAGGGTGACTTGAACCTCACCAAATGGAGCAAACAAAATTGTTAATATGATAATATACTGTTAAATGTATTAGCTCCCCGTTATAGGCCTATACCGAAGCTCACATGAAATTTATATCAACTTGGTCATTCTTACATAATCAGAAAACAAAATAATTATACCAAGGGTTGGAGTATATGGTGCATCTTATTAATTAACTCAAAGCACTGGTTTTATATATTGAAATTGAGGTTGATTCCAAAAATGTCCCACATGGGTAAAATTGGAGAGATCTTACTTGTCTCAGTGGTGGTGTGAAGTGTGAGGTAGTGGCCCCCTTAACAGGAGTTCTGATGCTCCCCTACTGATGTAGATCAGCCATGCCTGGAGCTACCAATCCCAATCTTCCTGAACACCTTGATCGCCGAATCTGGTCCAAAAGGTAGTTGAACCCGCGGAAGGTAAGCCCTAGAAGAGCCCTAGGAGCATGCAGCACTCCTAACTCGAGCGTGGACGTAGAATTCGCCGAAGATTCATGAACGAGACCGGGAATAAAATGCTCATGCATCCAGGAAGATGCTCTAGTGGAAGTCGTCTTTAGGAAAGCCAGCTGAGATGTCGGTAGGAGTCCATGAAGTCCGGCCCCAAGAGAACCCAAAATGGCCGGTATGGTTAGTGGTTGAAGTTCAGAGACCACGTGAAAGGCCCTCAAATCTACGACAATAGATTTGGGGTTAATATTTCAACCAAATACAACTAAATGTCGACTAAAAAAACCCTGTTGGAATTAAATAACCAAAGACTCACCTCCTTTCAGGATGGCCTTCTCACTAGGAAACCAAAATTGCAAATCACTCATTTTTCTAGAGCGACCCAAAGGCAAGCCTATCATCTCTGGAAATGATGGAGTAATCCGGAAACGAAGCGTTCTGCGCCTACTTGATCTTCATTCCCTTCATAAAAAACCTTCAAAGCTGAGGAATACAGAAATGAGTTTCTGCACATCAAAAAAAATCATCATGTGTTCAATCACATGCTGCTGAATCGGCACCTGATTGGTTAATTCACTGCCACCAGCATCGCTGCCAACAACGTGACACTTCCGTCAATTCAAAATTAGTGCGGGAGATAATTATTAATAACTAATTACAGCCAATAGCAATCGAACAGCTGGAAACTACCTAGACTCTCCGACTGGTGGATAACTCTCTAGACTCTCAGACTGTTGAAGCATGGTGTCCATCAAAACAGCATAGGGTCATCTCTCTCGTACACGAACATCTAACAAGGACGCCAGATCACACACATCACCGAAAACACAGCTTAAGGTAATTGTCCGCTTGTCCAGGAGAGAAAACAACTAAAACAAGACGACGAAGAAATGCGGTTCCTGTCCCTTATGTGTCAGATTTGCCCAAAACAAAATAACCTACAATAAATACTTAGAAAAATGACGAATTTTCCACGAAATCTACCTTTCCTCAATAAATAACAAGGTAAGCCTTCTCCAAGTATTCCCTGATCGTATTTTTCAACATTTCAGGATTTTAGATTATATTTACCATAACTATTTAAATTTGTTTCAGAACAACAAGCTGTCTCCAGATATTCTGAACTGATCGACGAACTCTAATAAAAACCCACCTTCTAGGAGTCTTTCTTTCTGGTAAGTACTAACAACTTTCTTTATTTTTTATATTAATAAACTTTACTTTCTTTTAGGTAATATTGGAGTTTCCAGACATGGCCTATCCAAAACTGCATGATGACTAGAGACTGAGATGTTTCTTGAAGATAATCAAGTGATTGTAGTGATATTGTGTATTTTACTGAATAAAGGGTATTATACAGAGTGAGCAATGTGAACACATCATAGTGAAGATATTGATTAATTACTTAAATGAGGAGAAAACCAAAATTGAGAGGTTGATATCTTCATGTTGATAAGTTCTTTATTTATTATTGAGTTTTCAAACTATTTATATATTCTGTAAGATGAAAAAGTCAATTTTCATGTTACACTCTATCTGTCAACTAGGCTAACTTAAACTTATTAATCTATCGAATAAATCAATTAGGCTAGTTAATACCAATGTTTACATACAGTTCATTGGTTAATACTTGGTACCTGTCAAGTAGGCTAGATGTCATGACACTTAGTTATCTGTCAATTAGGCTAGTTGACACTTATAGCGGATACCATTGGTAAAACTAGTGTATATATCGGCGTCAATTAGTGAAATTCGTCGTTCCCTGAAATGCCTAGTCATTTCACATATTGTCGGCAAACAGCGTAACAGCGTAACTTCCATTTTCAGCCGTTACTATGTTTGCCGGAGGGTTGGGGAAGGAAAATATCCTATCTGTATATCATGCATAAGAAGGGAAAGTATTTTTTCGCCTTAATGAACCTTCTTCCTAGAAAGTATATTTTTCAGAAAATTACTTGAGAACAGAAGAGACTCCTGCTTCTAAACAACCTAAGCTGAGTCGGCCTAAATGAACCTTCCTTCCTTCATTACAGGGAATGCCTGAAACTATTAGGCAAACGGTGTACGAAATTTAGAGTTACGTTGTCTGCCGGCAATACGTGAAATGACTAGGCATTCCAGGGAATGACGAATTTAACTGTATGACGCCGACATATACATCTCTCTTTCTGCTACACGTCAAAAAGAAGGATAGATATACACTGTTCATAAATAATCCATCAGTTCATGCCCAATGGAAACCACTATTAGTATCTGTCAATTGTAAAAAACTGGTTTGCATTGGAAGTGATGGTACGCGGTGACCGTGATACGAGTTTCCCGTTCTACTCCCATCCCCAGAAAGTGCCTATAAGTTATCACTTGAAAAAAATATTATGACGCTTCTACACTTTCGAAGTAACTACCACTTTCACCACTGAAAAAAAAAACAGCAGCGTTTTACCTTCTTTTTCACCGATAGCAGCTTGCGTTTGCTTGACGATGGTCTCCGGCAAGGCGGAAATGGTCGCTTTGAGCTTGTCGCTGGTCGGAATGGTCTCGGGCAGCATCAGAGCCCTGGAGAGGAGCAGCAGAGAGGGGGGCACTTTTTCGTTCAAGCTCAGGTCCAGCCAATCGCTGAGCTGGGATCTCAAGCGCTGTTCGCTCAAACCGTAAGCACGCATTCCGCGTGCCCTACAAAATGACGTTGGCGACGTGTTTTTTTTTCGGTTTTTAGCGTTATTATTTCGAAAAATGCTATCATCTCAGGATAGCTGTCAACAGCCATCATACTCTCGAATGATACTGGCGCGATTCTTCTGTCTCTCAACAGTCTGTCAGTTATTTAAATAAGGAATGTTTCATTCTGCTAATCAAACGTATTATGCCAGAGGAATAGAATATTTGGACTTTTTAGAAGATTTCCGTTATCAAATCATTGGAAAATTTGCAAAATTTCGGCTATATTCCGAATTCAACTGGTCAGTACTGTCAGTAAATCCACTGACTGCTGAAAATCTGATCCGAAATATGAAATCGAAATACAGTGCTGTAATTCGGAACACGTTTTAATGGTTTTAATCAGTAATCAGCAGCAGTTGATCAGCTGCTGAAATTTGAATATTATTCTAAGCGTCAATTATTGCAATAACCGGCATTACCTACGATATTATCAATTTATTTTTGATAAGACAAGACTTAATGTTAAAAAAACAAGGACATTCCTTCCCCCTCTAAAATAATGTCATTTCACTGAAGCCACACTACCTTTTGATAGTCAGCAATTTCAGTAGAATGTTGAGTGGAAATATTTGGAAAGAAAAGTATGTCTGCTCAGAAGAGTATGTCACTTTCAGATAATTGTTTTGATGTCGGAATGAAAAATCAGTAGTGTCAGTTGAATTCGGAATATAGCTTTACTCGGGATAGATGTCGAACAGCCATCATTCTCTCAAATGATACTGGCGCGATTCTTCTGTCTCTGAACAGTCAGTCGGATTTTAATACAAGGAATGTTTCATACTGGTAATCAAACGAAAAATCTCAGGGGAACAGATTGATTAGACATTAGACTTTCCAGAGTTATCAAATCACTGAAAAAGTTGCGAAATTTCATTACCTGTAGACTTTTCCCAAGCGCTGTTCGCTCTAACCATAAGTGCATGCCCTACAAAATGACGTTATGGTCTCTTTTCGGTTTTCAACGTTATTTTTTTCGAAAAATGTTATTGTGTACTTGGGATAAATGTCAACAGCCATTATACTCTTAAATGATACTGGCGCGATTCTCCTGTCTAAACAGTCTTATCAGATATTTAAATAAGGAATGTTTCATCTGGTTTCATCCAGCCGATTAAAATGGAAATGTCAGAAGTATAGAATAATTAGACTTTTCAGGAGACTACCGTTATCAAATTGTTGAAAAATTCGAGAAGTTTGTTAACCTGCATGCTTCAAAATTAACTTCTCGTGCTCTGGACACCTTGTCAAATATACCAAAATAAGGAGTTTCATTCACATTCAGGCAATATCAAAGAACAAGTGTCAGGGAAATTAAATGATGAGGCTATCTTGAAGATTTCCGTAATCAGATTATTGAAAAATTCAAATCAGAGCCCTCACATCTTCGTCTGTCAAATAGTGGAATAAGGAGTGTTCTATTCAGCTAATTTAAAGAAACGTGTCATTGTGATAACATAATCCAGAAGATTTCAGTAGTTGAATTATTGAAAAATTAGCGAAACCTTGTTACCAGCCATCATACTTTTGTACGATACTGGCGCGACTTTCTTGTCTCTGAACAGCTTCTATTGTGAAATAAATAACGAGTGTTCCATTCAGCTAATGGGAAAAATATCAAAAGGGAATTGAATATTGAGGCTTTTCAGAAGATTTCCTTGGTATTAAGCAAATATCAAAATTGTGGAAAACTCACCAAATGCACTTGCACGCTTCAAAATTAAACTGAAATGAATGTCAACAGCCATCATACTTTCATAAAATACTGGCGCGATGATCCTGTCTCCGAACGCCTTTTTTTGTCGAATATCAAAATAAAGATTGTTTCATTCACCTTGATCTAAACAAAAGGATACTGAGGCTTTTCAGAAGATTTCCATAATTGCATTATTGAAGACCTAAGGAATGTTTTCTTACCTGCAGGCTTGTTGTACTTCAGCCAATGTTAAACTAGAGACACCTTCTTTTTGTATCATTTTATCGTCGGCAGCTAAAGATCGCAATTTCATTCGTAGTTGAAAACGTAGAAAATTATTTGTTCCTAAAGTTTGTACATCTAAAACTCTACACAGGGCAATAAGTTGACTCCTCGATAAGGAATCCAAGGTTATTTCATCTTCAAATAATTTGGAAAACTTCATGATTTCTTCATTTGAGACCTGCTCTCCTAAAAAAATGTAACATTTAGGAATTATGATACAGGATGAATCAATAAAATAGATGCAAAATGTGCCTATCGGGGCGATGACAATAAATGATGAAGGAGCGGCCGATTCGATGATATTTTCGTTTAGTGTCGAGCTCTTATTGAGAAATTTCAATGCATGAAAATAAAATTGTCACATTCATTATCCGAGCTCATTACTTTCATTTCCTATCAAAAATGAAGCCAACACCTTCCTGCAGTTCTGCCCAAAAACGCCGAAAGAGCGTGAGCCTACAGGCAGTTCACCCACCGTCATCCAATATTCTGGCTTCGACTGTGTGTAAATTATCAAGTGAGCTCATGGTACAGTGAGTGAAACAGCAGCTGCCACGCTGCAGGTGAGGAACAGTTTTCGTCATTCAATTTCGTTCTCTCAACCTGCTCTTAAGACATTTTTCGAATAAATGTTCCATGAATAAGGTTCATTTAGGTCAAGTTAGGTTCGATGGTTCAGATAACGTAATCTCTCAAGTAGTTTGGCGATATATTTTTAGGAAGAAGCATGGAAAGTTCTTTTTGGTAGAGTAGGGTTGAATTGCTTAGAAGAAGTAATCTCCATTTTGCAGAAAGCATGTTTACTACCTTTCCTATACTGTCATTCATAAAGTCGGCATCATATGGGAAAAACTTTTATTAATGTCTTATTTTGGAATTCAAGTTGGACGTTGAGTTTTACTTCAAAAACGATCAAAAATGGCCTACTCAATCGGGGTCACGTGACTTTCGCAACATGTCAAAAGTGACATTCTTTCAAATTGATCGCTGAAAGTAGGCTTATTTGTTCAAATATCGAAAAAGTTTACTTGAAAAAGTTGTTTCTATTTCAATTTTACACATGCTTCTCGAATTCGATCCTTCTATTGCAACTTTTAGATTTTCATTTTTTTTTAATTTTTCAAAATTTCTGTAATATTTGAAGAATTGTTAATTTCACGAAACTACTTTATACCAGTAGCTTTTTCATGCTTCCTACTTTCAATTACTTATAATCACTGATTATGGACAGAAATATGATTTTCTTCAGAAACTGATAATACACGCTTCCAAATTCTGTTATGTTTGATGCAAAGTTGATATATCGTCAAGCATTTAGAAACGAAATCCATTTAAACTGATCTTTTCAGTACTGAAAAAATAAATTCAAATGAATTTCGTTTCTAAATGCTTGACTCAAACATAACAGCATTTTGATGTTATGTTTGCATCAAACATAACAGAATTTTGAAGCAGAGATTATCATTTTCTGAACAAAATCATATTTTTGTCGATAATAAGTGATAATTAGTAATTGGAAGTAAGTAGCATAATGGAGCTACTGGTATGAAGAGGTTTTATCGAATTTACAATTTTTTTAATATTACAGAAATTTCGAAAATTTTTAAAAAATATCGAAATCTAAAAAATGTAATAGAGATAAAATCCGAGTCACATATTATGTGAAATTGAAATAGAAACAACTTTTTCAAGTAAACTTTTTCGATATTCGAAAAAATGAGCCTACTTTCAGCGATTAATTTGAAAAAATGTCACTTTTGACATGTAGAGAAAGTCACGTGACCCCGACTGAGTAGGCCATTTTCCATCTTGTTTGAAGCAAAACTTGACGTCCAACTCGAATTTCAAAATGAGTCATTAATAAAAGTGTTTCCCATATGATGCTGACTTTATGAATGACACTGTATTCCGTTATTATGTAGACAGCCAGAATATTGGATGACGGTACGAGAACTGTCTGCAGGCCTTCGTGCAAGAAAAGATCAACTGTCAAGAATTTTGTTTTGAGCTTTTGAGGTTATAATTGAAAATTGTTTTCCTTTCAAAAAAATGATGAGTTGATGACACATGTTCATGTTTTACAAACTACCTGATTTTATTTTTACCTGACAGAATTAAATTGATAATTAATTTAGTCTACATTATCATTGATTATTATTACTCATCTTTAACCAATTTTTAGGGTTTTCTCATTATATGGAATAATCTCATTTTGACATAATAGGTGATAATAATTTAGTCACATTGTGTAATCCCAAATAAATAATTATGATTTGTGGCAATACTCACCTGAAGTTCTCATCTTATTGAACCATCCCACAAATTCCTTAGCTCTATCACTGCTCCTGTCTGTGTGTTGCCCAGACATATCATCCAAAGTACCCTGTAAAAACTTGGCCATTTCAAGCTTCACTTTCAAGCTCTTCTTGATCTTGTCATCCTGTTCTACACTAGTTTGAAATGTAGAAGGAAGCATTCCAGGAAAGAACTTTATGAAAACAGGCAGCAGCAATTCCATAAAAGGGACAATAATGAACACTGAGAAGGGCACTAATCTGAACAGGTCTCCCACAGTTCTAGTGAGCAGCCTGTACTCTCTTCTGGTGAGAGTTTTGCCATTGAGCACTCTCCATACCAAGCCAGAAGAGATTTTGGCATCAATAAATAGTAGTCTAAAACCATGGTAGTAGTGAACCAGTTCATCCCAAACTCTCTGGGGGATGGATTTCTTTGTTACTGCTTTGGCAACTTCAGTGCCAGTGGCCTTTGCTGTTGCTGCAGCAGCAGCAGCTGTTTTCTTTTGCTCTTCCTCTTGTTGCTTTTTTAATTCTTGTATTGTTGCTTCCAATTTGGAAGAATGCTTCAGAGGTTCTTTCTCAAGTCTGATATTTGACAATGAAATAAAGCGTATTGGATAGTGATTGAAGTTGCTGGTAAAATTATTCAAAAGCTTGTAAGATATTGAATTGGGGATGGAATAAAATTGTGTTGAATCAGATGTACTTGATAAATGAAAATTCGCATTGCACAGACATTGCGTCTGTAGATGATGGCCGAAATCTAAAAACAAAACAATTCGTCACACTATGAAATATCACCTGAAATTATGTAATTATGAGTATTCATAAAAATGGTGTTATAACCTGCAAATCATGTTTGTACTCACTTTTCAGTAGTTTCGAACGGGAGTTTTTTATGTGGTGGGTTCTTAAAACGACATTCATTCTGAAATATACTATGCCATTGATTTCTTCTTACAATTTTATAATCGTTTTATTTATGACGATGAGTGTTTTTGGTGACTTAATAATTTAACAAAATGACATCAAACTTCTGTTCATTGTGATTGTGGTTTGATTTTCAAACAATTCAAACTCACAGCGCACAGAAAGATTAAACGAAAGACACAAATGACAGCAGACAGGTCAAAGTCCAAAGATAGAGATGTGTAATTTCTTCAGTGATGTTCCTGGGTTAAAATTTATCGTACTAGAACTGAACTCATTTTCGTACTAGATTCGAGTATAATATACTAGATTTGTAGTTTAACTAGATCAGCTTTTGGAATGTTGGTAAAATATCTACAGAAAGATAGTTTGCTTTGTAGGTAAAAGCTGAAATGTTGTAATCTACAAAATACTTCTCGATCTATTCGAAAATACTCAAAACAAACATGTCAATTCCAAAATTACAGGCAGTCCTGCATAGATTGTTATACACTTGTCTGATTGGAATTAAAAATAACCTTACTTGAGCGAATTAATTTATTCAGTGCTCACTTTAATTCGAATGCCGGGCGATTTGAAATGACCCTCGGGATGCTCGCATTTGATCCCCATTTTCTGTATTTGAGGATTTTAGTGCATGCTTGGATACATTATTATTGAAGAACAAAAGTGAAAGATTCGTTCATTTAAATTTTTCAGCACGATTCCTATTGCTATAGATACTAAAATGGATTCTAGAAAATTGGAAGGAAATAAAAGTCAAACATTTGTACTTGCTTATTTTTTTCTTCAGGTTCACAAATAATAGAAGTTCACATTACAAACATGTACTTAGTCTAAATATGAACGAATTATTATCCTGTACTTTCGTTAAAAACTCGTAGAAAGCAAGTACGGTGTAGATTTTTTGTGGTTTTTATTTGTTTTGTTTCTTCTGATGATAAGACAATGTTCACATTCAGCAATAACTCAAAATACTCAATTAGAGTTTTTGATGATCGCTACATCCAATTTGATTAAGGCAAAATGTCAAGTTTATGTGTAATAAGAGGCACTAAAGTAAACAAAACAATCTAACCAATACTACACTACTAACAAAAGTAATTGGTACTTCTTCCAAATAGTTTCATTATTTATTTTTTGTTGCTTCAATATAGTTCTTGAGAAGACTGATAAATAGTTCGGAGATGATATAATTGTTAACTGATTAATTTGTTGAATATACCAATCACTTTATATTGAACTATTAACTCTAAATGAACAACAGGATTCATCAATGTTGCTTAGTCATTAATCTATCTTAAGAAAAATAATAACGAAATCATTCAACAAGTTACACAAGTTCAAAATGTTTCTAAAGACGCCATTTCAACCATTATCTAGACCGCTACAATGAGACAAATGAAATCCCATATTTATGTCAATCCATAGAGCATGCGCATTTCGAATCTGTCATATGTCGTGAATGACAGAGTGGATACTAATGGCGCGTTCACATGCTGGCGTTTCGCCTCTTGGCTTATGGCGTATTGTGATTTGATTGGCCAATTTATGTCTAAAAGAAGCTCCGATTTCCAGGGTTTTATCTTTTCAGGTTAGTTGTTGTCAACTGTGGTGAGATATGTCATATTCAAATATGGAAAATAGTGAAATGTTGGTACAATTCACGGTCATCAATGAAGATTACTGAATTCTGTCAACTGATTTATGGATTGAAGGTCAATTATTGTAGATGATGAACTTGAATATGTGAAAAACGTTATTCGAAACGGATATATTCCCGAAATTCCATGAACAATGATAATTCAATTTTCTTGTTGAATATTTTGATTATTAAATTTGAAATTTGCGCTCGTTTTATTTAAGCTTTCTGCGATAGGCGAAAGCTGTCATGTGAACGCGCCATAAGGCATTTTCAGGCTAGCAATTGGATGAGATTCTCGGATTTTTGGGTTGGGATATTACATAACCATAGATAACAGGTCTAGATTTGTCGGTGTCGGTGATTTCCATTGACAGAAAAAATAATAATGGATACATCCGTCTGTAAACTTGTCCATTGCGAATGATTTCTCAATAAGATAACTGATAATCATGTAACAAAAAGATTTGTGAGAACTAACGAAAAATACAACAAAATATGATCTGTATGCTCAAACTCATTGCTGATAATTCTTCCATTCATTTAGCTAAATATTGTGCTCCAGGTAATATTCAACATTTATGGTGTGCATTTTACGGCGTTTTTTTTTATTTCCGCAAATAAACACCAAACTACAACCACCAAAATCACTCAACGCACATACAGATTTGTTTTCTTTTTTTTTTGTAGGGCTGAGAATAAGATTTAAGAATGCGCCCCTTTGATAAGCATCTCTAAAGGATAAATTCGGATGAAAATAATTTTTATTACTAACAGCCAAAAGAGGCTTGATTATTAGAAACACAATACTAAACCTAAGAGCATTTTTATTCTTTTTAGTGATTTTTTTTTTATTTTCACGTATGATATATTAGATATATGTGATAATATATCGGCTAGAGAAAAGTTTCAGTATACTGAAGTGAAATTTCTTTTTTAAACCAGCTATCATTTCAAAATAACATTAATTCATTTTGCTCAAGCTATAAAATTTTGATCTGGCTATCTAATATAAAAAAAAGAAACCACTTTGAATATGAATAATCTTTTCCAACTACCCTGAGCAGGATTTTGATTTCCGTTAACTTTGAAAACTTTGTATGCAACTATTTACAAATCATAAATGAATAATTGATAAATGGTCCTGCTCATTTGTTGATAATTAAATGATTTTTTTCCACTACAACTAAGGAAAAATCAAGTACACCAGCAGTACCCTGTGACTACTTTTTTTTTTTCATTTTTCACGATTAAAAAACGCTACCAATATTTTCCGCTCATAGCGAATATCAACAGGTGTTCTGTTTCGTTTTGATTGAAAAAAATCCATGGACAAAAAACATCAAACTGTAAAAATAGTGATGATGGAAGATCTGCCTGAAATACATTTTGAAACGGATATTTTTACAGCTCGTTTTTTTTTCAATTATTCTAGTTTAAAAGATTGGGCAGATCTGTTCATGATGAATTGATATGAAGAAATGAATCATATTGTCAGAACTATCGCACACCTCCAAAGAAATCTGATTTCCATTTAAAATCTGAACAGAATTTCAATAACAAAAATAGTCAACAAAAGGATAAAAAAAACAAACGGATTCCGACAATACGAACTACACCAAAACCAATAACTAATCCGAAATCATTTTTGATTTGTTCCGTAGAAGGTCGGTCTTGATAAGAACGAACAAAAAACAACGGAAAACATCACAGAAACAATAAAATTCCAAGTATCCTATCAACTAGAAAATTCGTTTCAATGTGATATTGCATCAACAAATTTCTTCCTAAATCGTGTGTTTTCATCCTTCAAATTAATGTAAAAAAATATTAAATTCGAACCAATAATCATTGTGATACATGATCAGGAGATCGTTTCATCATTTTCTAATAATAAAATTTAAACGGTAACAGTCGAATCCTACCGACTGCGCCAATTGGAATTCATTTGCAATTATATATATATTATTATCATGATAATCAAATTAATTTGAAATATAATTGTAACAAGGTACTCCTCACTCATTCCTTCAAAACAGAAGGCGAATAAAACAATTGATATGTCCTTCATGACTAAAAACTAATGTTTTCAATTCGTCATAGTATGTCTTTGACATCAAGTGTCAACACTGATTTTACTACCCCACAGAAAAAACACAATTTTTTCACCGTTTCCTTGTTCGTTCCTTCCAAGACCGACATCCAATTATTTCTACACACAACAAAACAAAAGAACGGCATCAAATGACCGATTATACAAGGTAACAACAAAAAAAGATCGATCGATAACGTGCCGACAACTGAAAACAAACATAAAAAAAGGAAAGTACCGGCTATATATACATCTACACAACAATCCCCTAAATTGTCGCGCTAGCCCCGTCATAAATATAAACAAGCAAACTCGGCAGCATGACAGTTCGTCAGTGTGAAGTAGGGAGAGGGAGGAAAAAACTTACCCCCTCCCAAAACTCACACCCTTTTTTTACCTGCACTGAAACTAATATGGCAGTTGATTAGTCATGGGCGCTTGTAAGGCGCTCGCGATACTGTATGCTGCTCGTCATTTCGAAAAAAGCCGAAAAATTATTCGGGGTTGGCGTTCACAGGGTGACCGAACGTAGGGTTGGCAGCGTCGACATCTGTGAAGAATCGAAAAAATTGAGTTTTCCTTGTCGTGTCCTTTTGTTTCTATTCGCTACTAGTACATCACATCACTTCATTAAATATTCAACGATTTTTACGGATCTACAATACAAGTCTGTATATTTCTTTGCACGTACGTCACAACTTCAAATACGAATCAAATAAGTTCAAGGTGATATGTTTCAATGAAGCAGTGCCGTGCTGTTTCAGGAATTGGGTTAAAATAGATGACATTGCTAAGCTTATTTCATTCACACGCAAAAAATATCATATATACTGTAACTAGTTTGACTCCTACCGACTGCGCCAATCTATAATTAATAATATTATAAAGAAAACAGATTTGTTTGATAGTATTGGATATGCTCCGAAACTACTGGACCGATTTTGTTGAAAACTGGTGGGGAGGTAGCTATAAGGAAATTCATGATGGAGGATCCGATATGGCAGATTTTGTGATTATGATTCGATTCAAAATTGGTATCTAGGAGTTTTCGGGGTTGGAGATTATCATTCTTCCGTCAAAATTTGGAAATTCAAGACGTCAGTATTGACGATTTGATTTGAATAGATCCGGCTCGACGGACCAATATGTTCGATGCTTGATAGTGTATAGTATTTGTATGGTTAATATGACGATAAAATAAAGGATTATAACAGAATTCCATAATATAATTACAATTCATGTTGCAATCCTCCTTTATTCATTGATTTTATTGATAAGAATGAAAATCTCTACTGCATAGGGTAATATAAGTACCAAAAAATTATCAATAAGCGTAAGAGTATTTTCGAGCACATAGTACAAAATTGGAGTAACCAGCAATGATTGGATTGAACTTTCTCAATGACATATTGAGTTGAAAAGATATGATTGAATTTAAACCTCCTTGGAATTGTCTGCCACACTCATGAAAACAACTGTCATTATCCTCTAACAGTCAGTCAGGTGGATTCCTACCGACTGTGCCAAAAAAAAAACAATCCCCTTTCTGTCGACCTAGTAGCGAATAAAAAACAAAATTTCCTGTTTGCATTCGAAAAATATACATTCTGAAACCATCAGAAGCATACGCAGTTCCACAGAACCGAACAAATGCGTACAGTTCTGAGAAACTGCGCATGCTCCTGACGGTTTCGGACTGTTTATAGTTGTTTTTTCATGTTGGACCGTGTTCAAGATTGATTACGAACAGTTTTCGAGCGTGAGTAGTAATTAATCTCATTCATGAAAGCTGTCAAAATCTTTATCCAAGTTCAATATTCACCATACCAACATCACGATCCAGTCTTTCTTTAAGCTAGCCAATTCAAGAGACAGAATATTCAGAGAAAAAAGAACTGGAAAGCATTCATAACCTCAAACCGCGACGTTTTCTCATTTCCGTGGTTAAAACCGTCCATTAACCTTCGTAATACTGAGTAATTATAATACCCCTACATTACTAACTGGGGAATTTTTGTACCCCACCTTGTTTTCATATAATTATATTTATAATATTTAATTTTATTATATGATTTGCACTTAAAAAATACACAAATAACAAATTTTGTCCAAATATATCAACAAGTTTTATAGAGTATGCAGTACAAAACTAATACAAAATATAAAAATCAACTTATAAAATATAAATATTTTGAGATATCAATTGTTACATATTATTTTCTTCTGGCTGTGTTCTACACAAACAAACTGTCCGCAAATTTCACATTAGTTACGGGATTTCCGATCATCTTTCCGAGGACAAAGAGTACAACATCCAGCATTCACCTGCTGGAACTACTGGACGACTACCTAACTCAGGAACGACCGTAACCATATGGTCACGCTAACAATAACCAAGCAGATTGGTATTCACACTATGAGAGTCAACTTGACTGTCACAGATTTCCGCAGAGAACTTACATTACTAACTAGGGTATTTATGTTCCCCATCTACGTTGAACGTCTGAAAATACTGAATGGCAAGTTTTTTTTTCATTTGATATTCTATATAACGATTAGAAAACACATAGAATGAGCATGTTAGAGAGGATTATCGGATATTGATATTGCAATAAAAATTATCACCATAAACCACAAAAAAATACCAATTTGGGGTACAAAATTACCCCACTTAGTATTTATTACGAAGGTTAAGAAGCTTTTGAACCGGAATGAACCGTAATACTTAGTGACGTCATAACTTACACAAGAAAATGCTCGATTTCAAATGAAATTGGACACGTTTCAGCAAGAAAAATCAACTAAAATTGGGAAGGCGAACAAACCGAAACTAACCTGTATGAGGCAGTCCTCCTCCAATCTGGAAGCGAAACTCCAAGCGTCGTGATCGAGCATGAAGGAATGCCGGCGCTTGCGCTCTTTGGGGCCCGATAGCAAATCGGACAGATCGCGCATGGTTTCTGCGTCGGCAGGTAAATCGTCCATGTAGGACTGTTGCAATGTGCTGAGGTCGCTCAACAGCTGTTCCCCGTCCTCCATAATAACGAAAGAACATGATAAGCGAAACTATTTCGGATTGCGAGAAAGGGGAAGTTTCCTTCAGATGAATTTTCCATGAAATAAGTTCGGAACTCTCCAGTTTTATGTTCACGCTGTACAGAATGGCGACCGATAAAGTCCAGTCCATGTCGTTTTCATTTTCAAATTGAAGCAATTTCTAATTTTCGGGGCGGCAAACTATGACGTACATTCTGAATCTAGTCTGAAAATAGCTGATGGTGAAGAATTTAGCTCGCGAATAGCTAACGAATGGAGAAAATAGAAGTAAAACTGGTAAACAGAAACATACATAACCACAAATGCACTCGGAGCAGGAATGCGGAAGGTAGTTGGCTTCATTCTGACAGGTTATGGTTTTGTTATTTATGCATTGAAATATCTCGAATAGAGCTCGATCCTAAACGAAAATATCATTGAATGAATGAATCACTATCGGCTACATTCAATGATACTATCCTTCCTAATTTACTGGCATCGGTCAGAACAGAATGAAGCCGACACCAATGGCTCCTTCCTCTTGTTGTGCCTGTCAGTATTTTTAGTGGTGTGGACGGACTCTAAGTATTAGGCGCTGTTGCAAAATATAATCTGCAACTTTCTTATAACATAGATTTACTATCGTAAAATATCCTACATTATCTTTATTAGTAATCAACTTCATTCAGCCAATGAGATGCTTATGGGAATCATCCATAATACTTGACAAATTGAAGAACCTATTATATACCATTGCTGTTATGATATAGTTATTATGCATTCAAACATATTGATGATGTCGGCAACGTCGTAGTGGCACAAGAAATCGTATTTTAACTCTGTGTGAATGTGGATTTTCAGAAAGTAAGTCATAGGAATGGTGGAGGAGCCAAGTTCCTGTTTTATTTATTTTTTTCTGAAGTGAAATTTGATCTTACGAAAAAAAAAAACGTATATATCAATTTTTTACAAACTTCACAGTGGGATGAAAACCTTAATATTGGAAACTTCCCCATTGATTATCCCCGGGGTTTATCGCGGGAGAAAGAACATACAGTGTGGCCTAAATTTAATCCTCTCCATTGGGATCTCGGTAATTATGAGAAATAGAGAGTCGGTGTAATTGCGAAAGTTGCAGCAAATTCAATCTTCTAGATTAGCTCCAGTCATTTTTTTATGTTGAAAACGTTCCCGAAACGTCCAAACGTTCAAAGATAAGTAAAAATTTGATATTTTTACCGTTATTTCTCTTCTCCAAACCTGAATTTTTCTTTTAGTCTCTCTGTCGTAAAGAACTATTGAATAAACTTCCCCATTGATTATCCCCGGGGTTTATCGCGGGAGAAAGAACATACAGTGTGGCCTAAATTCAATCCTCTCCATTGGGATCTCGGTACTTATGAGAGATAGAGAGTCGGTGTAATTACGGAATTTGCAGCAAATTCAATGTTCTAGATTAGCTCCAGTCATTTTTTATGTTGAAAACGGGAGCAGATTCGTTCCCGAAACGTCCAAACGTTCAAAGATAAGTGAAAATTTGATATTTTTACCGTTATTTCTCTTCTCCAAACCTTTTTCAATACAAATGGTCACTGACAAGCTAGTGAATTTTTCTTTTAGGCTCTCTGTCGTAAAGAACTATTGAAGAAAACAAATGTTGATAATTGATATTGATGAAACCTTACCTGACTGATATCTTCGCGCAAGCGCAGCGAAGGGGCGGGGCGAGACAGCTCCCCTCCACCATCCAGGCACGTCCGACACATCTGCAACCAATCGAATTACAAACAAAACGGTCCCAATAGAGAAAAAAAAAAAAGTGAAATGCAATGTTCACAAATAGAGAGAAACTCAAAGTCATTACCACAATAGTTCATAAAATGAACGGAAATGCTAGATAACGAGAGAAAAACAACTACTTTCCTGGCTATATGCCACGCAGAACATTGGAAATCTATGCAATAATTCGGATAGACGAATAAAATTGCAAGTGTTTCCTTCCTAAACTTCCTCTCATCATCAGTGCAGGGCTGTCCCAGATAGCATTCTTGACCGCTATCTGGTGCGAATCTGACCCAACAGAAACGCATCTCAGCATTTATACCCCACGAGGCGTTCAACGTCCGCGAAATAAAACGCGAACGCCACCTGGCAAGGAAGGAAACACTCCAAAACAATCTCCCATTTCAGGTGAAATATGCCCGACTGGCGTATTTTCAACTAGGAAAAAGCCAAATGCGAATAAAATCGCGAGTGTTTCTTTCACCTGAAATGGGAGATTGTTTTGGACCGTTTCCTTCCTTGCCAGATGGCGTTCGGCGTTCGCGTTTCATTTCGCGGACATTGAACGCCTCGTGGGAAATGCTGAGATGCGTTTACGTTGGGTCAGGGTCGCACCAGATAGCGGTCAAGAATGCTATCTGGGACAGCCCTGCACTGATGAGAGCCAACAGCTCGAAACCGGTCTGCAGGTAGTCACGCGTTCCTGAACCATTCAGGCGCAGGTCCGAGTGTAGGAAGGAAACACTTGCGATTTTATTCGTCTATACGAATTATTGCATAGATTTCGGGAGGATGTAATGCAATTTTCTGCCAGTAATAGTAGATTGTTTTATTAGGATCAAAAGTGACACTTTGTTTGACAAGCGAATTTTGCATTTGCGAGGCGGAGCGTTTAGCAAAGCCGAGCGAAAGCAAAATTTGCGAGTCGAACAAAGTCACTTTTGACCCGAATGAAACATGCTATTTTTTCTGCAACCGAAACAATTAACTCAAATAAATATGTGAAGTAACCACCATTGCCGTGGCATATGTATGCAATGCAACAAATATTGACAAATAATCCGTGTGGTGATAATATTCTACCTGCATTAACAGCAGATTAGGTTTTCAAGAATGTTCGAATTGTAGTTTCAATATGAATATGAATACAACCACAGAGTGACATATTTGTGTATAGACCAGGTGCTCTAATGGCAAATACCACGCCAGTGCCAGCTATAGGAACTAGACGTGGAAAATATTAGGTTAGTGAGCATATATCAACAATGATAAAAGTGATTATTTATTCCTCTCCACACTACACTGTGTTTGACATGATAATCAAATGAAGCTAAACAATATTGTTGTTTGAGACAAAAAAAAACTATTGCTTGCCGTGATTATTCAAAAACAAGTTATTCATCCCGAGAATAACGAATGAAATACAGATCAAGCAAGTATTTGAATCTTGAAGGCTTCCCTGATCAAAACAGAAATACTTAACTGAGATGTTTATAATTCCAATACTAAACTATAATAAGGTGTATTTATATCTCCAGCATGGGTATGAAATGCCAAATCTGCTGAAATCGGAAACAAATCAGGTATGCGTCTCAACCCAAATAACCAACCGTCACAATGTTGTTTATTCTTGATGACGTCCAGTAGATCCTTTCTAGTTCCTAGGAGCTAAAGTTCAACTTTAGCTCCTAGGAACTAAAATTCAACTTTAGCTCCTAGGAACTAAATATGTTGCCTAGCAACATACCTATTTTTGTGACAGTAATAGAAACGTCAATTTAAGAGCTAATTTTGGCATCAAAATAGACGACTTTTGTGTCGGTTGCAGAAAAAATTAGTTTTTCTCTCGTTATCTACCGGTTTCGTTCATTTTATGGAATATTGTGGTAATGACTTTGAGTTTCTCTCTTTGGGAATATAAAAAGACACTGACCTCTCCGTCGCTCCAAATATCCCTAAGACCGCGATCGCGTTCCCAATCGACGTCTTTAAGGGTCGCCCAATCGGACCCTTCGACTTGCCGACACTCGTCGCAACCTTTCGTCTCGTATTTCCACAAGGGCACGTTATCGGAGCCCTCGGGAAAGTCTTCCTGAGGGCGTGAAATGGGTGTGCACCGACCAATGTCCGTTTCATCCTGAAAACAAGGACGTTTCTTCGGGTTTTACTCAATTTTCAACACGCTTATTTTAAACTATCAAACCCCGCAAACGTTGTTTTGCTATTTACACTATTTCTATAATATATTTTTTAGCCTTCGGCATTGACGCCGCAGGCCATAAACGACTACTTCACGCCCTTGATACATAAATAACTATTTTTTGTTCAATATTCATCAAGACACTATCATTATTTAATTCTCTACTTTTTTATAGTTTTGTTATCTATAAAAGCGTGTTTCTTTAGTTTTTCAAACTACCATTCATTTCAACTTCTTTTTACTAGGTGGGCCAAAAGAAATCACCCCATTGGAAGGTGCTCTTATTTTTGCAAATGGCGGTATATGTCAAATCTGTTTTGACATTTGTGAACTAGACAGAATACAAGTGAACAAGCCATGGAGCGATACACTCCCCAAGAACGCGGAATAATCCAAGCCAAGCCATCCTCAATCTCGTGGACGAAGTGGACGATTTTTCGACCAAAATCATAATGAGCGACTAGGCTCATTTCCACCTCAGCGGGTACGTGAAAAAGCAGAACTATCGCTTCTGGGGTACCGAAAATCTATGAGTGATGCAAAAGGAACCATTACACCCGCTCAAAGCGACTGCATGGTGCGCTGTTCACTCTGGAGAAGTCATCGGGCCATTTTTCTCGACGACGCCGCTGACAGTGGACTGTGCGCCCTATAGGGCCATATTAACCGTGTTTTTTCTGCTGCAATTGAACGAATTAGGACTGGATGGCATGTGGTTCCAACAGGACGGAGCAACGGCGCACACCCCAGCGAGCACAAAAACATCTCAGAGATGTTAAAAGTACGAGATTTCGAGACATTGAACCTCCACTGCGATGTTCTGTTCACACATGAATAGAACTATTACAGAACAGCCAATGTCCGCCGCAGGCGGCAATGGGGAAGTTTCCTATATTGAGGTTCTAATCTCACTGTGAAGTTTGTAAAAAAATAATATATACGTATTTTTTCTTTTTTTCGTAAGATCAAATTTCACTTTAGAAAAAAATAAATAAAAGAGGAACTTGGCTCCTCCACCATTCCTATGACGTACTTTCTGAAAATCTACATTCACACAGAGTTAAAATACGATTCCCTGTGCCAGTACGACGTTGCCGACATCATCAATATGTCTAGATTTCCGGAAATTGTTCTTTGAATGCAAAATAACTATATCATAACAGCAATGGGATAATAATATAGGTTCTTCAATCCTACTTTGTCGAGTATTATGAAATATTTCCATAAATCTCTCATTGGCTGAATGATATTTTGCGATAGTATCTATAATATTCCAGTATCGCAATATTACAATATGTTATTTATAACTTGTCAGTCATTTTTTGCTAGTGAATTCGATCCTAGGGAAGTTACAGATTATATCTCGCAACAGCGCCTAATACTTTGAGTCCGTCCACACCACTCAAAATACTGACAGGCACAACAAGAGGAAGTAGGTGTCGGCTTCATTCTGTTCTGACTGATGACAGTAAATTAGGAAAGATAGTGTCATTGAATTTAGCCGATAGTGATTCATCGATTCAATGATATTTTCGTTCAGGATCGAGCTCTACTCGCCATATTTCTATGCATAAATAACAAAACCATAATCTGTCAGAATGAAGCCAACTACACTCTGTATTCCTGCTCCGAGTGATTATGTATGTTTTTGTTTACCAGTTTTACTTCTTCTATTTTTTTCATTCGTTTTTCATTCGTTAGCTATTCGTTAGCTATTCGCTAGCTATATGTTTCACCTTCAGCTATTTTCAGACTAGATTCAGAATGTACGTCACAGTTTGCCGCCCCTAAAATTAGAAATTGCTTTGATTTGAAAATGAAAACGACTTGGACTTTATCATTCGCCATTCTGTACAGCGTGGACATAAAACTGGAGAGTTCCGAACTTATTTTATGAAAATTCATATGAAGGAAACTTCCCCATTATCGAGATGTCCTTGATATGTCACAAAACCACCTTCTCCCTAGTTCTTTCTAAAGCCTTTTCATATGGACACAACAGAACATTTTCAACGCGTCTTGCGCACATCAAATCGCTGTAAAAAAACCATTTTCGAGGTACTTTTCTGAAGCCTTTTGTCAAAATGAACTTTTGCATTAGGATTCCATTTCCCTTGAATGAAAAAATGCATTAAAAATAGATTGAACATAAAAATATTTTCTTGATTTGAAATTACCTTCTTAATCGGTTTCTGAGTAGTGCTTACTACACACAGACATATAATTGGAGATAGGTTTCCCAATTTTTGAAATGTTCTCCACAATGCATAATTTCGCAACTGCGGAGAAGCTGTGTATTGATGAATTCGTACTTTTATATATTGATTACACTGAGGCACCGAACAACACATCTTGCATCTGATGGTCATTATCACAAACTAAATAAGTCTTCTAACACAATAAACTTCACCAAATTCCTTCCTGTTCGTTAGCAGCGTGATGTAAGCGTGACACGCTGCAAACGCGAATGCCAATTGCGAACAAGAAGAACCAATTCGAAAACAAATCAGAATTCATCGTATTGTGACGTAAGCATGAGACGTTGTGATGGGGCAAACAAAGAAAGGGCACAAAAGAACAAAAACAATACTTTCAATATCCTTCTAAGACCTCTTTGGGAAGTGCATATTACGCCTCAAAAAAACATCCTCATCCCAGGGATGTTTGTGCTCGCTGGGACTGCGCGAGCCATAACCGATATTCTGAAGGCGGCGTTCCCGGATCGCCTCATCTCTCGTTTTGGCGATTTGCACTGTCCCGCAAGATCTCCCGATTTAACCGATCCAGACCTTTTTGGTGTTTGTTTTTGAAGTTCTGTGTTTACGTGAACAATCCCGAGACCCTGGAAGCCCTCAAGCACAACATTCGACACGAGTGCGACAATCTGTCTCCCGAAGTTCTCGCCGAAGTGATGAAAAATGCATAAAACGAGCCCCTATAGCAAACAATTGTGTCGGCGCCCATTTGGCCGATATCATCTTCTCGACTTGACCAATGAAATTCTAAAGGTTGAAATCAAATCAAAAAACAAAATCGAAGCTTTTTATTTAGAAAAAAAAATGAGAGCCAAACAACATCGGATGACTTCTTTTGGCCCACCTTGTAGTTCACTTCACTCAATCATAATATCCGACTTCTAAAACCACAGATGAAAATTTTGAATAGAATTTTGACGAAGCAATCATAATCCCCGATCACGAAAGCCCCTAGGTACCAATTTTGAAAACCTTGAATTTCCGAATTCCGCCAGAATTTACTAATTCTGACGAAAGAATCATAATCTCCGACCCCGAAAACCCCCACATACCAATTAAGAATAGAATCGGACCATTATTACAAAACTCGTCCGATATATTAGATCCGCCATCTTGAATTTCCTAATGGTACCGGGAATAAATAAATAGCACCTCTTTTTAGTTCAGCTATCTATAAAAACGTATTTTCATAGTATTTTAAACCACTATTTATTTCGATTTTCAATCAATTTTTGTTGATCTAATCTGTGCTTACATCAACTTTGCTCGCTTCCTTATAATTCTCGCAATCGTGGTCGGCCGTTTCCTCCGTTTGACAGGCCTTGTCGTTTTGGCAAATGCTGAATTTGAGCACGAAATCCAAGTCCGGCGAGCCGACGATCTCTTCGCCCTTGTATTCGTGGTACTTTTTACTTTGACCGTTATCGCTCTCCAGCCACATCGTGCCGCTGTCGCTCCTCTTGAAATCCACCTTGGACAAATCGACAAACATCGTGAAACGTCGGAATACAAAGTACAGGATGGTCCAATGAAATTTTCACATCCCGATTTTAGAGCTTTGAAATGAAAATTCGGAAATCCGTTGATTTTTTCATCCTCGTCGTCTAATTTCGCGTCAAAATTTTCATCGATGACGAAGTGAGACAAAATAGTGGAAGAGGCAATGTCGAATGTACCTCGAAAATTTTATTCTTATTAGAATTCAAACATAAAGTGCGTCCACAAACTTTTTTGTTACAAATAATAACAAATATTTTTCGAGACGAGCGTTTTTTTCAGGATTTTCATTTTAAAGCCCTAAAATCGGGGTGCAAAGTTTTCGTTGGGCCACCCTGTATAGAAATATAATCCATAAGAATATATTCCATTCTCACAGTAAGCGAAATTGATCAGAATGTAAAGCATAGGACCATACTTTGAAGGAATGTAAAATTACAAAACGTCAAGTATCAAAATATAATATATCAGAATTCGTAATTCGTCGCGGCAGTAAAATATCGTATTTCATCAAAACCGTATTTCATAGGAACTGTATTCTATCGGGACATTAATTTGTTGGAACCGTATTTCATAGCGACAGTAATTTATCAGAACAGTATTCTACAGGAACTGTATTTCATCGAGAGATCAATTCATCGGAATTGTATTTCATAGCGACAGTAATTCATCACAATCGTATTTCATAGCGACAGTAATTCATCAGAACCGTATATCATCGGAATCGTACTCCATCAGAACCGTTTTCCATCGAAACCGTATATCATAGCGACAAAGAATCAGAATGTAACAAAAAAAAATTCATTAAAATGTCCAAAACAATGCTCTGATGTGTTCTGATTCTCTATTCTGACAAAGTACCGTTCTGCTACAATACGCTTCCTATGAATTACAGTCCCGTTAAAATACGATTGATGTTCTACTAGTTCTGACAAAACACAATTTCGTCAAATTACATTTCTGATTATTTACCATTATCATGATTTACGGTTATGATATATCACCATTCCGACTGAATACGATTCCGATAGATTGCCTTTCTGATAAAATATGGTTTTGTTAAAATACCGTTCCGTCAGAATACGATTCTGATGAAATACAATTACGGTTATGATCGATTACCATTCCGATGGGATACAGTTATGATCAATAACCATTCCTATGAAATTCGAAGTTGTTTTGCATTGCGAATACGGTGCCGATGGATTACGTCTGACGAATGAAATGCAGAGACACCATCGAAAATTACCTTCTCCAGGTTGTTGGAGATGACGAAGGTGGCGCCGTCGGCGTACTTCTTCGCCACGCTCGTTTCCACCTTCTCGGCGACGATCGGCTTGAAGTGGGAACTGGCCGAGGTCAGCAGGTCCTCCTTGTCTTTATTCGAGCCGGAAGACAGTTGAGAACACAAGCCGAAAGTGCCCGAATTGCGACCGAACGGATTGAAAGAATTAATCTGAAAAGACGAAAATAGGACTTGCCTTGTGAACCACGATATATTTTTATGAATTTGGCACTTAGATCCTTTTTACATCGGGCATATGGAAGGCCCAAGTGTCACTTAGGCCCTTTTGACATGACGTGTGACCACGATTTATTGTTACGAATTTGGCACTTAGGTCCTTTTCACATCGGGCATATGAAAGACCCAAGTGTCACTTAGGTCCTTTCAACATGACGTGTGACCTCGATTTATTGTTACGAATTTGGCACTTAGGTCCTTTTCACATCGGGCATATGAAAGGCACAAGTGTCACTTAGGTCCTTTTAACATGAAGTGTGGCCACGATCTATTTTTATGAATTTGCCACTTAGGTCCTTTTACATCGGGCATATGAAAGACCCAAGTGTCACTTAGATCATTTTAACATGAACTGTGACCACGATTTATATTTATGAATTTGGCACTTAGGTCCTTTTTACATCGAGCGTATGAAAGGCTCACGTGTCACTTAGGCCCTTCTAACATAAAGTGTGACCACGATCTATCTTTATTAATTTGGCACTTAGGTCCTTTTTACGTCATGCATATGAAAGGCCCAAGTGTAACTTAGACCCTTTTAACATGAAATGAGTGATGCTGATACTCATTGCATAATGTTGGTGTTATCACAGAGATCCTTCAAACAATATTCTCACCAACTTGTCACTTATGCCTTTTTAGCATAAGTAGGCACTATCACACCTAAGACTCATTTTTCGTTCTTGGCATTGACCCACAGAACTTCTAATGACCTTGACACATAGAACCTTTCAACATACAGTGGAATTAGTGGTAATACTCATTTCACATTGAAGGCACACATATCCTTCTCAACCATATATGTCTTTTTTGCATAGGTAGAGACTAATTTCATGTTGTTAGCGGTGATAGTGATCCTCGTGCCTCAGGTCTGACATAAATTAGTTGCTAGCACCCGTCTTCATGTTATTTTCGTCAACATAGCTACTTGAATGAGTCATTTTAATGAATTTATACCATTCTCACATGATTTAATGAACTTCGGCACTTATGCCATTTTGAAAAAAATGTCGCTGGTACACATACTACTTTCTTGTTAACAGCATTGACACATATGCTCTAAAACCTAGTTTTACCCAGTTTACTTCCATTACATTATGGCACTTAGCTCCTTCTTACAATTTCACTTAGACCCTTTTTACAAAAAGATGCTTTAGCATCTCTACATTCAAGATATCATATAGATTCTTCTCAACCATCATATCGGCACTTAGAACCTTCTTACACAACCTCACCTTGACGCTGCACCGAGGAGTGATTTCGGCGAAACAGCTCTTCTCCTTGTTGTGGTTCAACTTCATCAGGCTGCACGCCAAATGGTTCGATTGGTTCTCGTCGTCGCTACCTTTCTCCTTCTGATCCGGCTCGGTCGGTTTGTTCCAATCGCTGGGCAAACTTCGGAAACCGTCCACGTGGACACGGTGGGGCTGCGAGGGAAGCGAAAAAATCTGCAAGAGAAAAAAAGGAAATTACCAATCGGAACATAATGGTTGAGAAACGGTTTTTAAGATGGCGGATCCAATATGGCGGCGGACGAGGTTTGTATTTATGATCCGATTCTATTCATAATTGGTATCTGGGGGTTTTCGGGGTCGGATATTATGATTCTAATTGGGAAATTCAAGATGGCGGATCCAATATGGCGGACGAGGTTTGTATTTATGATCCGATTCTATTCATAATTGGTTTCTGGGGGTTCTCGGGGTCGGAGATTATGTTCCTGTCGTCAACATTGGTGAATTGAAGATGGCGGATCCAATATGACGGATGAGTTTCGTAATTATGATCCGAATCTATTCAAAATTTGTATCTGTGGGATTTCTGGATCAGAGATTATGATCCATTCGACAAAATTCTGAAATACAAGATGGCGGATCCAATATGGCGGATCAAATATGGCGGACGAGTTTTATAATTTATGATCCGATTCTATTCAAAATTTGTATCTGGGGGTTTTTGGGATCGGAGATTATGATTCTTTTGTCAACATTGGTGAATTCAAGAAGGCGGATCCAATATGGCGCACGAGTTTTGTAATTATGATCCGGTTCTATTCAAAATTTTTATCTGCGGGTTTTCAGCATCAGAGATTATGATTCTTTGGTCAAAATTTTTAAATTCAAGATGGCGGATCCAATATGGCGGACGTTTTGTAATTATGATCCGATTCTATTCAAAATTTGTATCTGCGGGTTTTCTGGATCGGAGATTTTTTGTTGTCGTTGTTGTCACCTTTTATCATTTTATTATTGTTGTTTGTAATCAACTACCTGATACCAGAATTCTATGTCTAACTGGAAGCTAGTTTCTCGATAAACAATACGTCTAAATTTGAAAATTCAAGTTCGCGGATCCAATATGGCGGACGAGTTTTGTAATTATGATCCGATTCTACTCAAAATATGTAATTGGGGGTTTTCGGGATTGGAGATTATGATACTTTGCTCAAAATTGGAAAATTCAATATGGCGGACACAATATGGCGAACGGGTTTTGTAATCATGATCCGATTCTATTAAAAATTAGTATCTGGGGATTGTCGGGGTAGGAGATTATGATTCTTTGGTCAAAATGTATGTATGTATCCCTATTATAAACAACTATGTTTCTTGGGGTAATAAAGACAATCAATCAATTGGGTACATACAAAAAATATAAGAACACTCAAAAACACGCTTTTGTAGTTAGTAAAACTGAAAAATAGAAAAAGAATAGATAAAAAACTGAAGGAACACCCTATTGAACATAGCCAAACTGAAAAGAAGTAGAAAATAAAATCATTTTATTTTCAACTTCCCTTTAGTTTAGCCATCTATAAAAGGGTGTTCCTTTAGATGTTCAAACTACCATTCAATGTTGTTTACCTTGTTGTTCTCGAAGAGCGTGTTCGTTTCGTTCTCCATCTCCGAGCGAGAATTCGCGACCGGCCAATTTTCGAACGGCTTGCCGATGGATATCGAGCTGAACTTGAAACCGAGCGACAAGTCGGAGTTGGCGGAGTTATCGATGGCGGAGTTGAACTTGTTGTCGTAGGCGACGTCTTGGTCGGTAGACCAGATTGAGCTGAAAAAAAAAAGGTTGGATCTAAAGTTTCTGATAAATTTTAAAATTCCAATTTGATTGAAAATTGATCATCACAACAAGCTTTTATGATCATAGAAATCGTGTATAATGAGGTTGTAAGTTGATAGTTGAAATTTGAAAGGAAAATTTCATTTTCTTTTTTTTTTTCTTCTTTTTCGCAGGTATAAATAATAGTTATTTATTATACAAGGGAAAAAAGTAGTAGATTGTAGCTCCAGGTTGTGTTGTCTCCCGACGCGTAGTGGAGAAAAAAACACAAAATGAAAACATTTTTTTCAATTTTTTTTTTTTACCTGATGTTGGTGCCATAGGGTATGTATTCTCTTTTGCCATCGTCCCGCATGTTGGCCATGTTCATCATTTCGACGGTGTCGTCTTGCTGAGGTGAGGGAGAGTCCAGCAAGTCTTTGATATCAACTGGTAAGTCCTCGTACATGTTGACGTCGTCGCCGTCATTTGCCCACAAATACCTGATATCGGAAAAAAATTGTGAGATTTTTAATTTTTAATTCACTAATAATGAATACAAAAAGGGTTAAAAAAAAAGAATTGAAATGAATGAATCGGGTGAAAAAATTAACGAATAAAATGGGAATGGAAAAAACTTCAAAGAGAAAATCAGAAAAGAGCTAATTATAAAAAAAAACAAAAACTTATATGAATAAATCGAGAAAAACTGAAAAAAATAGAAATAACAATAATGAAAAATCATAAATTTTAGAAACGTGAGTTACCTGCTTTCTTCCATGCATTGATCTGTAGAATCGTGCACATCTGATAGATTCTTAGGCTTGCTGGGAGCAGCGAAGAATTTCTTGTTGGTGAACATGTTGAAATCCCAATTGTTGAAGGCAGTGTTGTTGTTGAGGTTGAGGTTGTTGTTGTTGCTGTGGCGGGACGACGTCGTTTTGTTGCGAGAGAAGTAAGGGAAACGCTGCTTGTTTTGACAGCGGGCTTTCATTATATCAGTATTTTCCTTTTATAAATAAATTGAACGTAAGTGTTTTTCCACGAACGTGAAAAGTTTGAATTCATTATTTATGCCGAGACCTTCAATAATATCAACATCTACAATCTAACATACAAAAAATGCAACAATTTTCACCGAGGCCCATTTTGTAGTAGACATTGGGGAAGGTTAGACCAGCGGAGGCTTGACCATATACGGCATAGTGGCGGTTTGTTCTGGAAGGAAGGTGTGGCCTCAGAGGAAGGCGTTGCCTAGGAAAAAAGGCGTGGTCTAGGAAAAAAGGCGTAGCCTGAGAAAGGTATAGTCTAGGAAAAAGAGGCGTGGTCTAGGAGAGGCGTGGTTTAGGAGGGGGCGGTGCCTAGGTAGATGAAGTCAAGAGCGGATTTAGGAGTCAGATTTTAGATTATCTTCGAGGGTTGTAGTTAGAAAATACTTTTATTATACTTCTTTGATATCAATCACCTTATTTTCACCTATATTAGTAATATTGTAAGATGGGCTTCTTCATCCTAGAGCACTGAAACGGGATTTCATTATATCAGTATTTTCCTTTTATGAAAAAATTAAACGTAAGTGTTTTTTGACGAACATGAAAAGTTTAAATTCATTATTTATGGCGAGAACTTCAATAACTTCATCAACATCTACAATCTAACATACAAAAAATTCAACAATTTTCACCGAGGCCCATTTTGTAGTAGACATTGGGGTAGGTTAGACCAGCGGAGGCTTGACCATATAAGGCATAGTGACGGTGTGTGTGAAAGGAAGGCGTGGTCTAGGAGAAAGGCATGACATAGAAATAGGGCGTGGTCCAAGAAAAAGGCGTAGCCTGAGAGAGGAATGGTCTAGAAAAAAGGGCGTGGTCTAGGAGAGGCGTGGTTTAGGACGGGGCAGTGCCTAGGTGGATGGAGTCAAGGGCGGAATTAGGAGTCAGATTTCAGATTATCTTCGAGGGTGGTGCTTGTAAGAGTATGTTTGAATTCCTTGTTAATCACTGAAGTCAGAAAATATTTTTATTATACTTCTTCGAAATCAATCACCATATTTTCACCTATATTAGTAAGATGGGATTCTTCATCCTAGAGCACTGAATAACCATGGAAACGAAACATACATGCCAAACACCCTATTGTCAGCATTGTTTATTTTCTGTCAATCAAACTCATGCCAACAAAATTAATTCAGAAAAATCCCGAAATTCTCGATGATATCCTAGAACAAGAGGCAAAAGCGACCGCGAATTTATGTTCAAGAAGTGTAACAAAAAATATCGTTCATTACACAACCATGACTTGCTTGAAGCATGTTCGGCTTTTCCTGACACTAAAATTAGTGACAGGTGCACGGTAAAGTCCTTATTTCGAGACTCGTAATGAAATATACTATTACCTTGACGCGCAGCTTCCTTTGACCCGCCCATTTTCAGTAGATATCGGGGTAGGTTAGACCGACGGAGGAGTGGCCATAGAGGGCAAGGACTAGGTGAAAGGCGTGGCCTAAAAAAGGCGTGGCCTAGGAGAAAGACGAAGCATAAATGGAGGGAGTGTTACCTAGATGGAAGTTCAAATTCCTAGTCAAAAACAAAATACCTTGACGCGCAGTTCATTTTGTAAACGGCCTGCCTGTCCTCAATTTTTTTCTGTCCCTCCCTCCTTTTCAGTAGATATTGGGTTAGATTAGACCGACGGTGGCGTGACAATAGAGGACAGGGTGGGGGCGTGGTCAAAGAGGAAGAAGTGGTCCTGGAAAAAAGCGCGATCGAGGGAAGGGACAGTACTTAGGAATATGATGTGGGAGTCAGATCTAGGAGTGTGACTTTAGATGATCTTTGGGGGTGGTGCTTGTACAAGTATGTTTGAATTCCTCGTTGAAAAATGTGGTCAGAGAACAAAACATATCAACTTTGACGCGCAGCTCGTAAACGATTTTTCAGTAGACAAAGGGGAAGGTTAGACTGACGGAGGCGTGGCCATAGAGTGCAGGGCGTGGTCGGCGAAAAAGGCGTGGTCAAGGAGATAGGCGTGGTCTAAGGGAGAGGCGTGGTCTAGGAAAGGGGCGGTATCTAGGTGGATGACGTGGGGACGGATTAAGAAATTTCAGATGATATTTGAGGGTGATGCTTGTACAAGTATGTTTGAATTCCTTGATAGAAGGTGTAAGTAGAAAACCAAAAAAATTACCTTGACGCGTAGCTTATTTTCGTAAACGGTCTGCCTGCCCCCGAATTTCCTCTGACCCGACCCTTTCTTCTTGGGACTGCCGCCTTCGCTGCTACTGCTTGGGCAAAGAGCCGGAAAAGCGGCGTAGTACTTTTCTGCCAACTCTTGCGGCGTGATTTTCCTCAATGGAGGGGTGTTGGTAGTGGTGGAGGTAAGTGGGGGAGAGACGGTAAGGTCACTGTCGTTCGCTTCTTTCAGCTTCTCGCACAGTTCGTCGACCAGAGATTCTATTTCGCAATTCTGGAATGAGTACGTCAGGAGTCCGTAATGTGCCACTTTAACGGACTGTACAGGGTGACACGTCATGAAGTATCACCTCCTCGAACATTTTTCTTTTTGACAATGATTACAATACTGATATTCTGAGATCACCGCCAATGAGAAATAAATATACAGGGTTACTGGTAATTCTATACATTCCTTTGGAGATGCTGATCAACTGAGATAGCTATTGAGTGACATATAAACAATTTTCAAACGAGATTTGCACCAAAAAAAAGTGTCCGAATTAGTTTTTCTTGTTTGTCTCGGTATCCATCGATAAATAAAGAGTAATCAAGTAGTTAGTACCTGATCGGTAGCAGACAGTAGACACTCGACGGCTGCCGAACGTTTTATGTGTTCGGCATCGGCGTGAGCATGTCTCCACCAGTCAGATGACGATCTGCGTAACCTTTTGCGACCTTTGTTCCATTTCCCCACTTCCTGCACACCAATCAGATCGTCAGAATAACGTATACGTGACGTTACAGTACGTGAGTTTACGGTACGTGACGTTACGATACGCGACGTTACAATACGTGACGTTACAATACGTGACGTTACGACACGTGACGTTACGATACGTGACATTACGATACGTGACGTTACGATACGTGATGTTACGGTACGTGACACTACAAAAACATGATGTTGCGATAAGTGACCTTACGAAACGTGCCGTTGATAGGTACAAAATGTGTCATATCGTCGTAATACGTGATTTTATGAGAAGTAAGCTGGAGTTTTGAAGTGGGGCGACTAAAAAGTGACGTTACATAAAATGAATATTGACGTGACGTTACGGAAAGCGCTCTTTTACAACATGACGTTACGGGATTTTACAAAATATGACGTTATAATACATGGCGTAGGGTTATGATACAGGATTTTTTGTGATGGTGTCACGTTACTTTAGAAGTCTTCACTAAAAATAAACTTGAGGAAAAGTTACGCAAAAAATCGGACCTAGGTGACATTATAAAAAGTGTGAAATTGTAAATCGTGACAATACAAAGATAACATGACGTTACAAAACATGATGCTGTGGTACGTGACGTTATAAAACGAGCCGATACGTTATTTTAAGTGACGTTAAGAAACGGGACTTAGGGGCGTTAATAAATGGGACTTACGTGAAGTTAGATACGAGACCTTAGGAAACGTGCCGTAGCGTTATAAAACGTGGCGATACAAAACATGACGCTACAATACGTAAACTTATTGTTTGTGAGGTTTTTCAGAAACCTATATAATTTATGACATAGTTATAAAACAAGAAAGAAAATTAGAGCTTGCATATTTTGCTGTTGTTACTTCAACACTCTACGGTCTTCTGTATTTAATGACCGAAATAACATGGAAATATACACCTGGTATTGATATTGAAAAACTTTCAAATATGAGTAGCATGGTTATATTCCTGAAGTGTAAACCTACAATTCAGAAGAGAAACACTGAAAGTGAATTCAAATGCATTGTCAGATATCCTTCTATTAATTAACCCATTAGCGCCGTGCGTTGCCGTATGGAAACGCTAGTCAGGTGGAGATTCAAATAATTTCCAAGCACTCCAATTTTTAGCTATAAGGGTGAGACAGCCCACATGATTAGCAAAACCGGTTATGCAGATCGGTTCTTTGTTGTGAGTAAGCTGGTTCGGTCACGTGAATTTGTGAAACTTTGAGTTTATTTGAACTGACGTAAAACATGCACGTCACGTTCGTGTACATATCATCCTTTTTACGCATTTGATTTCAAGATTTTTGTTTTCATAATAATTTGCATATGCTTCAAGTTATTATGTGACATATTGAAAGAAATTGGAGGAATGTTTTTTGTGTAGAATATTTGGATTTTCATAATGACAATGTTCAACTGTTATGTAGGTATATGTGTTGATATTCCAAAATATGCATCACAAGCGCCTAGTGTGGCCATATGGCAACAGCAGATTTTTGGAAAACCTGAATACCATTTATGATTCTTTATACTTTTCTCGTCTTTTGAAAGCATTTCACAATAGTCAATGGCCATGAAATATCAGAAAAAAAAAAGGAGAAAATAATTCGCTAAGGGGTTAAGGTGTTTAAAAAATATTCTTGTGTCTATCCAAGGTCCAAGTTTATCTTGACTACACATCATCATAGAATAATAATGAAATTTCAATTATTTTTTCCCATGAACAAACAAAATAGGCACAATTGAGAAATAATTTTTCACTAACCTTATTCAAGTGAGAGAACTCCCCATCAGAAAATATAACATCGACAGTGTGTGAATGAAGCAAACTGAGAATATAACGTGTGTACACTACAGCATCTATACCACGAGCTTCCAACTGTTCTTCTAACCAATTGGAGACTGCCGAAGGCATCGACACCAATTGGGGATACTTCATAATACTCTGAAATGCAAAATGCAGTTAGAAGAAGCTGATGCAAAAATTGATTTTTTTCTATTTTGCCTCTTTAATATTATGACACCAAAATGCATATGGAAACAGCTTCTACCAACCAAGACATGCTGAATTTCTAGAGACAGGACGCAACAAATAATCCATGAAGAGAAAATAACCTCAAAAAAGAACAACAATAAACATTGAATATATTAATTATATTATAGAACTGCAGAATTATGTTTGAATGATTGTTTCAGATATTACATTTAATGACCATAATCTAATATATAAAATTCTTCTGTCTCAGTCACGGTAATAGTTGCCAAACTCGTCCGAAATTCAAGATGGCGGATCCAATATGGCAGAAGAGTTTTGTAATCCCATTTTATTCAAAATCAGTATCTGGGGATATTCGGGGTCGGAGATTATGATTTATTCGTCAAAAATAAAAAAGTCGAAATGGAGAAATCATTATGGCGGACGAGTTTCCTAATTATGGTCCAATTCTATTGAAAATCGGTATCTAGTGGTTATCGGGGTCTGACATTATGATTTATTCGTTGAAATTAGGAAATTCAAAATGGCGGACGAGTTTTTCTAATTATGGATCGATTCTGTTTAAAATTGGTATCTAGGGTTTTGGAGTCGGAGATTGTGATTCTTCCGTCGAAATTTGGAAATTCAAGATGGCGGATCCAATATGGAGGACGAGTTTTGTAATTATGATCCGATTCTATTCAAAATCGATATCTGGGAGTTTTCGGGACGGAGGTTATAATTCTTTCGTCAAAATGTTGAAATTCAAGATGGCGGATCAAATATGGCGGACGACTTTTGAAAATATGGTCTGATTCAATTAAAATTGGTAACTGAGGGTTTTCGAGGTCGGAGATTATGATTCCTTCGTCAGGAAATTAGGAAATTCAAAATGGCGGATCTAATATGGCGGACGAGTTTTTTCAATTACTATCAGATTCTATTCAAAATTGATATCTGAGAGTTTTTGGAGTCAGAGATAAAGATTTTATCATCAAAATTTGGACATCCAAGATGACAGATCTAATATGGCGGACGAGTTTTGTAACTATGATCAGATTCCATTCAAAATTTCTATCTGAGGGATTTTGGGGTCGGAGATTATGATTCTTTCATAAAAATTAATACATTGAAGATGTGGAGAAATAAATAGAATGGTTTGAAAAACTAAAGAATCCCGATTTTATGGATAGCCAAACTAAAAAGAAGTAGAAATAAAATAATAAAAGTTTTTTCATGAATATTCATCTGAAAATTTTTTTTCTAGACATAATGTCTATGGAAAAACATGGCAAAACAACATTTGCCAGGTCATCTAGTAATCTATAATAATCATGTAATCAATCAATTGTAATTGTTTTGAATGGTGCAATTGTTATATAAATTCAACTGTAACATTACAAGTATCTTGAGCATTGATTATCAAATTTGCTGGTAACTTTTGTTAGGCTGCTCTTGACAAGAAATTGTCCTCATTAATCTGATTATTCAGTTAATTGTTTGTGCAAAGCAACTGTGAGGTAGAAACATCTGAATGTACTGTAGAAGTTGAAGGCTGAGAAGAAAACATTTGAGCTACTCCAATTTTTCTCTTCACAGAAGCTTTAATATGTAATCTTCAGGATTTCCATCCTCCATGGACCTTTTTGCTAAATGGGACACACTAAAATGCCAAAAACAATGTCCTATATAGCTGTTTGGGCAAATTCCCTCCCTGTTTGCCACTCCAGTCTTTCTCAAAATGGAAAATTCAGATTTTTAATAGACCAACAATGCCAAATTATATCATTAAAATAATGATATTAATTTGAATAATTTTTCTACCATCTTTCAAATCTGGGAATGAACATTCAAATGTTTTTTTATTGTTCCTGTTACCAAACATACTTACCTCATATTTTCCTAATGTTTGATTTTTGTATTTAAATAAAAGAGTACAAATTAATGCAAAATAGTATGGTACACACAATTTATAAGACATATTGTAACACTAGTTTTTTTGGAGCACTCCTTACTTTGCTCATTGGTGTCTTATAAAGCTTGATAAAGCTAAAGTATGATTCACTTACGATGTGAAAAAATAGTGTTGGGAAACCTTGAAGGTGCACTGCAATATCAAGATCTTGTCTCTAGCTGGTGGCCAATAAATCACTTGAGAACTATCCTTGTTGAAATACATTGTTTGTTAAAAAAGCTGCTCTTGTCCATCCATCAATGTGTTGAGATTTTGTTAGGTTTGTTAGTGTTTTTAATGTATTTCTTGTTTTATGTTAATCCCCATTGTAATATAACTGTAACAAAAAGAATCACTAAAATCACATGATTATGGTATAAAGCAGCACTAGTACTGGAGCTATAAATAATTCAATCTCAAGGGCAACATGAAATTAGTTTTTCTTGCTCAAATTTGACATTTTACAATAAACATGCCAAATGTCTGACCATTGTTGGCAAATGAAGAATAGTCTAATCTAGTAGCCTGGGCAACACCAAAAATAACTTTTTTCATTTCCATGGCACCTCTGATCTGATTGTAATAGCTGAAAGTAGGATTTTTTAATAATGATATCCAGTACTAGGACTAAGAAAACTAGGAATAATAGTTATTCTTGCAACAGATTATACTTGCCATCAAAATCATACCCACCTATAATAATTTGAAATTTCATCTTAATAGGTATAGGAAGTGAACTTTGTTCTTTTCTATAGATGACTGACAAGTTCCAGGTCATTGATAATTCTACTCTACTTCCAATCGTTTATAATATCTTAACGAAATGGAATTACCTTGAATGCCAAGATAAAAACGTAAATGAAAGCACTACTAGGAGTAGCAAATTGAGCAAAAAGCATGAGAATGCGGAATACGCCATTTCTAATTGCACAACAAACGCATTATTTGAGTCATCATACGAAGAAAACAACAATGGTTCATTGAAAAGAATTTGATTTATTCGATATAATGTGAAAAAACATAATGAATCAGCTTACCAATCGGGGAAGATGTTATTAAATTCAGGATTATTCTACAACACACTTCACGGATTAGAAATACATGGTATCTAGGTGGCTCTAAAGGCGCTACGGCCACTACCAATAGCAAGATGTCCCGCTCAAACTGCGCTTGGGCATTTAACAAAAGCGCTACGCGCCTGCCCGACTGTCATTTTTATCGACTTCTTGGAATTCCACTAATTCCAGAGAGAGGAAGGAAGAAGGAAAGGAATGCAGTTGCACCGATGCAAGATGCATGAAATGCAGTGCTGCCACTCGAATTTGTGGAATTACTTGCAAATTTATTTCAAAATCCTTGCATTTTACTTGCAAAATTTCGAAAATCCTGACAAAATCCTTGCAAATATTCTTCTACAAAATGCTTATGAATTTTATGTTTTACACAAAACAATTTCGTGTGCTCCACTGTATCATCGTAATAAAAATGGAATAATATAAAATTGAAGGTGTTGAAACGGTTGAACTACCAGTCATCATTTTGACATTTGACAACTATGACGTATAAAAGCACGTGACATCTAGCGGCCAGAAGCCCAAGGGTATCCAAGTAACAGGATGGGATCTTCCTCCATCACTGGAATCCTTCTTTTTCTGTAAGGGAAATATTCCACTCAAAATGAGCTGGTTGTATCATTATTTGAATAATTTCCGAACTGAGCAACCACCTTCTGATCATATCGTTTAATTTATAATTTTTCATCTAATTCCTCGCAATATATTATGATTAAATACTCTACATCTTTGCTAACTTTCAAGCAGCGGCTGCCAATGAACTCAATGTGAACACTTTTCAATGGTGGCAGCAGGCAGGCCTCCATTTTTGCTTTGTCATTTTCCATTGTTGTCGATGACCGTCGATGACAACTGTCATCAGTGTCAAGTCAAGCCTCGATCCATTAGTCAAGTGCCTAGCACAAAAATGAAGTGCCTAGCACAAAAATAACAATAATGACAAATGCGCAAATACCACAGAAGATCAAAACACAGAACACAGAAAAACGAATAAAGTACGGAACACGACTGACACACTACGCAAAACGAAGTCATGGTCATTCACTCAGAATCCTTGCAAAATCCTTGCAAAATGTTGAATCCTTACCGATTACTGCAAAACTTTGTGATTACTTGCAAATGCAAGTAATTACTTGCAAAACGGCAGCACTGATGAAATGCAAAATTTTTAGGCTGGGTTTTGAACTTGAGAAGTTGTCACTCAATTAACATAAACGAGCGCCTCACAACAGTTGCGCTCACTACATGCATCATTCTGGCTTCCAACATGATTGACGTTTTATAAGGCCTGTTCGTTTGTGCTTGCAATGATTGAAGTAGGATATGGTGCGCGCATTCAGCCATTATTACGTGATTATAGGTTCTTTCGTCTGCTTTTCAGTGTCGTGTGAAATACACTGCACTATGAATCAGCTGATATTTCGTGCAGCTACACCCTGAGCTACACCAACGAATTTCAAACGAACGAAGAAAATTGAATTGAAGAGGAAAAGTGCAATTTTGATTTTTAAATGCGGTATTTGATGTAACTGGTTTTCGAGTATAGGTGTTTATGTATTATAAATATAATCACACATGTATTTCGAGTAATTTATCGCGATTTCATATATTCTTGAATTTGAGTGTAATTCACACTTGCCCAAGACTAGGTGGAGATAAACTACACTGGTGTGAAATGCACTTTCCAAAAGAATGCTCAAATTCGGTGTAAATTACACGAGGTGTACGAATGTGCTACACTTTTCGTACAAAAGAAAGGACCTTATTACATTGAAAATTTCAGAACACTCGACCGCCTACTATGATTTATCTAGGTTCTACATTTTCCCGCTAGATGGTAATGCTGCTATTGCTGCTCAAGGTTGGTAGAACTGATGATTTTATATAATCAGCTCTACCAACCTTGGTCATAATCCAACAACTATGGGAAAAAAATCAACTTCAGCAAGTACAGCAATACAAACGACGCCTATATAAGAGGGATAGTTCCTTTCCATTACCATGGTTAAAGCTGATAATCCCATTTTATTGTGTTTGACTGTGACGTAGTTTCCGTTTGGGTATACCTCCCCAACCTGCCATTGGGTTTACCAACTCGAAAATTGGTAGAGGTGGTTATATGATTTGAAGATTTGTTTACAAAGTGAAAGATGGAGGCTATGGAAACAATCAAATTACAAATCATTGGGTGATGCAATAGAAGCCAGAATGATGCATGTAGTCTGTGGCAACTGTCGGGAATCACTAGTTGATAAGATAGATTTGCGATTACTCTGAGAGGATACTCATGGCGTTCACTCGGCGCCAGTAGTAAAAATGTCTTCCGCTGTTGGCTGTTTTCACATTGTAGCTGCTGAGCATAAATTGAGCATAAAAATCAGGCATAAACAGTTTTATTGTGAGAAAAATCCGTTAATGAGCTATTGATCAAATTTGTTTCCCTTTTGGCACCAAACTTATGTAACTATATTTTTCAACTAATTCCAATATTTCCTCTGCCTCTTTTGCGTCCACTGTTGAATATATATTTTGTGTCAATACTGCTATAGACGTCCCCAAAATTGCACCCCCAATAACATCTGAAAAACATTACAAAATCAATTACACCGATTTCAACATGAAACACTTCTTTCAACTATCACCTGTATAGTGATGATGATAGTCAGCGCACCTACTCACAGCTATCAAAGTAGCCAGTAATATAGGTACCATCATCAAAAACATTAAAATCCCTCTGCAAACCCTCACTTTCTTCAAATCGATCAACTTATTGATGTGCAGAGTGAGATAGACCATGCAGGTGAAGGCGAATGAAGCATGAGCACTAGGAAAACTCTTTCTACCATCCAGCATTCCGTGGTATTCTCCTACAAAAGAATAATATCGACTTCGCCTCGCGACAGTTCCTGCAAACTACATCCAACATTCTGGCTTACCATTCATTCACAAAGAATCATTGGATGGGTGAGCATAGTGCCAATACAGTTCGATCCCCTGATAGTATCGAATGTGTTCGCCAAGCGATATCTAAACAGGAATATCAGTTATTCCCCTTGGACTTCTTTATATCGCTTGACGAACACGTTCGATAATTTCAGGGGGGTCAACTGCATTGGCACTACATTTTGATAGTAGGATTCAACTGCGTACTGCGTAGCCGTGTTGCTCACTCGTCTAATGATTATTTGTAAATAAATGACTGCAGGCGTGGCTTGCAGCATGATTTACATCTGAAAAAAGAATTCAATCTGGCATCATATGCATAGTCGTGCATTAGAAGCCAGGATATTGGAAGTAGTGTGCGGGAACTATCTGAAGGCAACCGTCTAAAGACGCAACAAGTGATCTGTCAGCTGTCACATACCGGTACAGTTGTCAATGTCGGTGCCATAACCATCAGGGAAACACCTGTGGAAGAAATTCGGTCTAGGCCTACCCAGAGTCAGTTTCAAAGTGGTAGTCAGAATACCGTTGATGCAATAAGCCAGAGTTAGTCCGGAGATACTCTGGAATATATCTGGAATGGTCTGTTCTCTGCGACCGTTTATGACGAACTGGAGAAAGAAAACGATCAGAGGGAAAACGCATATGATGACGTAAAGGTAGAATTTCGGAACTATGCTGTCCATGGACGGGTACCGGTACATCCACATTTCGTCTTCGTCAATGTGACGGATTATCGGTCCATGTTTGTCGAGCCATCTAAAAAAAAAAATCCGTGGCAATTTGAGTAGTGGGTCTTTTCGATTTTTTTTTATTAGAGAATAAACTCTTATTGTAAGATGTAAGGTCGTTTCTTGTTCCTCATGACCATATTTCAGTTGAAAAGGCTCAAGGTGGGTTTATACGGCAATTAAAATAAAATCAGGAATTAGATGAGATGATTTAAGGAATAAGGAATAAAATCCACTGTTTATACAGATAACTAAAATGAAATAAGGATTAAGTAATTAACGAATCCAATCACGGCATTGATGACAATGACGTTTCATGTTATATGGAAATTCTGTGGCAAAGTTCATTTGGGTCATGCGCATCGTCATTTTTAGAATAAAATGAAATGATAAAAGTTGGTTTCATTTTATTCTTTTTCTAAACTTATTTTGTTTTAGTTTGCTGTATAAACTCCCCTCTTACTGCCAAATTGAGTGTCATTTGGACTTGCCCGTTAGGAGTGCCTGCAGATATGTAATATAACGCACGACTGCGCACATGATCTTCGGCTGGGGCCTGTAGTTCAATTCTTGCAGAGGTCAACTTTTTTATTTTGTTTCCCTCAAGTCAGTCAGTCCGAATGTATCTTCGAACAAGATTCATTAACGCCGAGTTCGGTCAGCTTGAATTTTTCGATAAATATATTTTCTGGGAAGACCGAGTTAGGTTAAATTGTTTAGAGAAAGTAGTAGTAAGTAGTATGGGCGCGTTTTTCATTCCGGCTATATTCCTAATTCAACTGACAGTACTGAATCTGCTGATTTTTCATTTTGAAATCAATAAGTCACTGAAAGTGATCAAACGGTAGTGTGGCTTCAGTGTTTATTGAACATTTAGTCTTTTCTTATCAATAATATCATCTTTAAAATCAGAAAATGCCTGTTATCAACATAATTTACGCTGAGAATGATATTCAAATTTCACCAGCTGGTCAACTGCTGCTGATTTCTGATGAAAACAACCAGAATGTGTTCCGAATCACAGCACTGTTTTTGATATATTCCCTTGTTATTTTCCGTTTGAATAGGTAAATGGAATCCTTATTTAAATATCTGACAGACTGTTGAGAGACAAAAGAATCGCGCCAGTATCATTTGAAAGTATGCTGGAAGGATGGAACAATGGAATATACAACACTATCTCCATAATTAGGAGAGGCTCTGATACGATTTTATATGGATTTTATTGATTAATACCATCCATCTCCTAAAATCTCCCAAGAATCTGAAAAATTCTCATTATTTTTTGTTGTCTATCGAATCAAAACAGAGAACAACACTTAAAATGTGTCAATTGTCATGTCAGTGTCGTCCAAACCGCTGGATTCTCGCAAAACTATTTGAGATTGCGCATTATATTCATACATCAGTTTGATGGATTTCCATCAACATTCCGGCAGAATTTTGCAACAGGTCCATGGTTTCTTCGATCCATGCGCATGACAAAATTTTGGAATTGAAAACACACCCTATATTATTATGTTGGAAGCTAGAATGATGGATATAGTGTGCGGAATGTTTGCGGCAACTATCGGTAGGTAATCGTAACTAATTATAATCATGGTGGAAGTATAATATGGTGTGCTACTTATTAGGACTTAGGTATCTTGAATTCGTCTTTTCTGCGCATTGCTAGCACAAAAATGGTCACGGCGACTCGGGCGAAATGATAACTGTGAGCTCAGCAAACTTGGAGTGACGTATATGAAGATATGTCGTAGCACACCAGACTTATCATTCCACCATGATTATAATGGACATTGACAAAAAATAAAGCAAGTCCACAAATGACACTCCACAACTGCTGCAAACATATAATAGCATTTAGCATTATTGGCAATAAAATGTTTCAAGTGAAATGTGGTCTTTTAATCTTTTGTCTTTAAAAAAATACTCTTTTATATCTTGTAATAATGTTGATTTCATCTTTGCTGGTGCATGAGTATGTTTACCTTGAAGTTTTGGCTTGTTCATGAATGAAGAACAAAATTTCTTTCCAAAATAAATATTGATTGCAATATTTTTATTATTATGAAATGAGTTATAGTTTGTGCATTGAAAGTACGAAATCACAATATATGTTTTGAAAAATTCTGAATGGTACTCACAGAAATAATATCCAGATGCCAAGACGAAATCCAGTCTCCAAAATTAGGTTAATTACTGTTATTGTAGTATCCATCACAGTCAAATTGGTACATGTTTAGGAAATCTTACAGCAAATTTTATGTTTTGAAGGCATTTTTCTCTAGAACAGAGATGTTGAAGAGCATCTGAAATTTTCCAGCTCAAAAATTAAAGGTTAACATGCTAATCATATGTCAAAATTGAAATATTTGTCAATAACATGTTATACAGGGTCCCTAAACAATAATCATCTCCCACTAAATGTTATAACAACTAATCTAAAATAAAAAAATCTAAAGGAACTTGAATAAAACAGGTCAATATTAAATATTTAATTTTATTAAATAATTATATAAGTCCTAGGCAGACTCAATCATTATTACTCTGCCTTTTAATATAAGTCAGTTCCACTGATTTATAATTGACCAGCACTTCAAACAATGTACATAGATAATCAATGCATTTATTTATTCTCCTTGACTCATTATAACTAATAAAATTATCATTCGTCCAATGACTTGTAGCACACACCTATCAAATTGAAAAAAAAATACACATTTTCGCTAATACACATTTTTTCCAAATAGAATAAATGCAAAGTGTACCTAAATAACAATATTTCACAAAAAAATACAACAGCACATAACCTCACATTTTTAGAGCTATCCTTAAGTTACTAAGAAGTCATCATATCACTAACAGACGAAGTATTTACATTGGGCCCTTTGAGAGAATCATTTATATCTCTTCTAAACATTGACAAGTTTTGTGTAAACCTGAAAAAAAATCATAAACTAATAACTAATCATTAGTCGCCAATGGAGATGAAAGAGTTTTGCATTGACGGTGGCTTTCAGATATGATTTGTCAACTCATTCTTACTAATTAATCTAGTATCGTTGATAAATTACACTAACAAGATGAACCATCCTTATGAGAGCAATGAAGCTAGAAAGTCTGGCGTGAGTTTCACAAAAAAAGGAGCCAACGTTCGCAAAAACCTCGAATCTCTATCTTCAAAAATAATCGAGATATCCCGTAAGAACCAAAAATGGAATATCATGGAACCGGGTGAAGAGATACTGTATCTCAAAAGCTAATAATTTCGCTAACCGGGCCTGGTTCAAGAAAAGTTTGGTGAATAAATTCACGTTACCTGTCCCTGTTTTTGGTGAGCAGGTTCCTCTCGATACCGTCCATCAAATTCTCGAACCATTGCGCCATGGCCGCCTGTTTATCAGCCGGTTGGCCTCTAATTATGCTCTCTCGCATCCTGTTGAAGTAGTCCTCGTTGAGCAGGATCAGACCCAGAAGAGGTCTCGACATCGACCACTGGTTCCTGCAATCCTCAAACATGATCACGTTCAGCACGGTGCTGAGAATCTGTTGCAGGATCTCCGGGTGCATTTCGAGCACCTTGAGGAACATGTCGCTGGCCGGGGTCATGTTTATTCGCTGCTCCTTACCCGGATATACTGAGAAAAAACAATCGACTTGCTCAGACTTGGTTGATAATTTTTTAGTGCATTGACTTCTCCCCCCTCCGATACCCATACATGATAAAACATTTTATAATGCATTGATAAAAGAATGATTTCATAACAAAATATTGAACTAAGAACAAATTTGAATTCAGTTTGATTATCATTGATGATCATTAATTACATTGACTTATCCCTTCTCAGATTCATAACGAAATATTGAACAAAGGACACAGTTAAATTCATTTTTATTCGATATTGAGTAGAGAAATCTTGTTTTATAATTATTTATGACATTGACTTATCCCTCCTCTGATGCCCACTATGAAACATGAGGCGGCTCGGTGGTCGAGAGCGTGAAGGCGCTGAGTTCGTATGGGGACTCCCACCGAGCGACATAGGTTCGAATCCTAGTTAGGCCATGGATGTTTGTGTTTGTCTGCTTACCTAACCCCGCACAAGTTTCGACTTATGGGGCGTTTGGTCCCAGTGCTGGGACCAACGAGGTAATGCAATTGCAAAAAAAAAAAAAAAACATCGATTGCAAACAAATATTTCATCATTCCAATATTCGCTATTAAAATATCAATCTTGTTCAACAATGATTTGCATTACCTCATCCTACCCGAAACCCAGTACTTGAGATAACAGTTCACAATTTCTAAATAAATATTGATTCCATCATCATATCATATCATTGACCGAAATTAGATTCATTTTTATTCGCTATTGAGAAGATCCGTTGTGTTTATTTTTTTTAATTGATGGCATTTACTTATCCCTCCTCCGATACCCTCTACGAAACATTGACTGCTTTCAAATATTTACCATGAATGTTTTTGCTATGAATAATAAGATTACATCGACTTATCACTCCTCAGATAGCCATTTAAAAATATAATATTCTACAATGCATCAATGAAGAATGATTCACTAACGACTAAAGTTGGATTAATTTTTATTCATTATTGAGGAGATGAGTTTTGTTTCATAAACATTCATGGCGTTTGACTTACCCCTCCTCCAATACTCATGAGAAAACAGTTCATAATTCATTAATAAATATTGATTCCATTATTGAATAATAATCATGGACTAAAGATTGATTCATTTCCATTCGCTATTGAGAAGATGGGTATTGTATTACAATGATTGATGGCATTGACTTATCCCTCCTTCAATACCTATTATGAAACATCGACTTCTTTGGATTCTCTATTAAAATATCACTATTGTTTCGAAATCATTGTTTTGCATTGACTTACTCTTCTTCCGAGAGCCAGTACATGAGGTAATAGTTGATAATTCATGAGTATATTCGCTAAACAAATATCAGTCTTGTGTTGCAATCATTGATTTGCATTTACTCATCTCTCCTCAGATACTCTGAAACTTCTCTGATAACCATTATGAGGTATTGATTGCTCATAAATGTTTGTATTTGCTATTGAAATTTCAGTCTTGATTTATAATTTTTGATTGCATTGACTCATACCGCCTGCGATACTCATATGAATCATTGATTGTTTAAAAATATTCGATTCACGATTATGGCTCCTTCGATACCAATTAATATTATGATTCATCAATAAAGAATGATTCCATTAAGAGACATTGATCACTGACAATGTTGGTGTTATGCTTGATGGTGTCTTATTTCTCCATTCCTCCTCCAATACCAACTATGGAACATTGACAGTTTGCAAATATTTGAGCATGATTCTATTAACCATTAAAATTTCAGTATTGCTTTGCGATCATTATTGATTTTGCATCGACTCATTCCTCCTCCGATGCTCAGTTATTTCAAACTATGGATTGCATTGAATAGAACCTCCTGACACCAATTATTTAGAATAAGTAGCCACATCATTGTGGCATATACGTACATATACGGTTTAGAAAAAAATCACTCACCTTTCTGGGTAAGTTGTTTGAACAAATAGGTTACTATGTGATCCAAAGTGGCACAACATCCCGTACATACCATTGTATCTGAAACGTACATACATACAAGATTTTCATGTTCATTCAAAATATGCAAATATTGCAAGTTATGAAGTTTTTTAATTTTAGATGAAGCAAAGCATTCAAAGCTGATAACTACAAAAAATATTATTGATGCAATAAAATAGATGTGCTGGAGTCAAGTACTAAATATGACTTATTCAATGTATAAAACAACATTATTGTTCTAGACATCGATTCCGATAACTATTTAGTATTGGTGATATATTATGCAGCAATCCATGTTTTTGCAGGCTAAACACACTGCACACGATGGTAATAAAAACATTCGGAATTTTCAATTTGAGATCAGCTTATTTTTATTGAAGAAAATGCCTTACCAATCCAATGAAAAAAGTTCACACCATTACTTCCACACAAGACACTAAGCTCTTAATGAAAACCAACATTTTTTGTACAGTCAGAGACGTTCAACAGCTGCAGACTTGAACAAAAACCTACAAACTCAACTGATGCAACTACATTTTGAATTGAAAATAAAAATCTCAATGCAGACACAAGTAGTTCACCTCAGTCAGTTCAACGAAGATGGCGGACAATGATACATCCACCATCTTGGTTTTGAACCGTCTTAGGTATACTACTGAAATATGAACGCGTTTTTTTAACAATTCTGTTTTGCAATAACATTACTGCATGCAGCAAATGAAGATATTGTATTTTTCGATCAAAGTCTGCATTGGACAGATCCGAAATTCGCTGTGTCCCTGACTTGCACAGACCTGTAAAATGATTTAGCTGCCCACCTAAGGCCGTCAGTCCTTCCGATATCGACGACAGGATGTAAAGAAAAACTTGCGGCTCCAATGTCGACAGGAAAGTCATGTGATCCTGAGCCAGGCACTCTAACAGAACGTAGTACGTTTGCGATAATTTTGGGTAATCCTAAAAAACCAGTTATGGATGTTGATAATGATAATGCGTCGATGTTTTCATAATTAAAGACGAGCCTTGATCACTAACACTAACAAGATGAACCATCCCTATGAGAACAATGAAGCCAGAAATTCTTTTCAGGTTTAAATGGAAGAAGAAATATCGCATCTGGGGCAGATTGAAATATTTTTATTATTTAAGTCAGAATATCATAGTTAGAGCAACTTGCAGATAGATGGACTCGAGCAGATTCCAAGCCGGCCAAGAACCAAGACCAAATTTGGCTCAACATTTTACATGGAGAATGATCATCTTGTTAGTGCAAATAATCAGGTAGAGGAGTGAAGAGTGATTATTTCAATATATGGACTGTTTCAATAATATCCAGATCGAAGTTGAATCTTGAAATTAATAAAATTGAACTTGAATTCTAACCTGAGACATTTCGAAGTCGGTTATTTTGATTGTTTTCAAGACATTAGTAGTTAAAATTTCAACCTGGAAGCAGTCAACTCTGTTTATTTATTCATTCATGGTCTAGTATACAAGGTGTTCTCGATGGTGGGTAATTTTTTTATTTGGAACTGAAATTGCCCATATAAAAATCGCGGAAACAAGTTCAAAAGCTTGCATGGATAAGATCATTCTTGTCTTATTGTCTTCCATTGTTTACTGTAAGCTCCTCTGGCTTGTCCTGCTATGGACCTAGTACTCATTATTTGATCGTCATCGATCAATTCCAGAATGTCTTCCCCAATTTCCACCATTTCAGGTGGTACACGACACCTTCGCACTAAATTAACAAATATTCGTGGTGTTGGATGATTTCTTGATAAAAATCTTTTTGTGTATCTGCCACAAATTGACAATTTACAGATAAAACAATTCATAAAGAAGATCCAATGACTAGCGCTAGACAAACAAAATTCTGCTCTGGACTTTAGTAGGGAATGATAGGGCCAGGACCGTAATAAAATTATTTTAAATTCATGAAATGTTCAATTTATAATACCTCCGTTAGTATGGAACTCGTATTGAGGCGATATTTGGTGGATATGTCCATTTCAATGAATTTTACATGCCTCACCATTGAGAACACCCTGTATGTGCCATGTTTTCGTTGTATTCGTTAATTCACTTATTGATTGGTATAATAGGAATTTTTTTTCTGTATGATCCTCACCCAGAAGATTATCGATTCTTCTTCTGGGTTTCCTTTGGTTTTCAGTACGGGCTTATTCACGATCAGCAAAACTAATCGATCCTTTATTCATTGTATATTCATCGATTACGTCATCGTTTGTCGCCAGAAAATTACTTAATTGCTCTAGTCAGAAAATAGAAATGATTCGAATCATTTCAATAGACAATTTAGACTGCAAAAACATAAAGCAAAACTTATTTGATGAAAATGCATCACTCATCAGTCATCACCCGTCAAATACTTCAAGTACAAAGAAACACTTACTAACAAATCGGACTGTGGAATAGATAACAATAATTTTACAAAAATATTTAAAGCGTTGTCTAATGCTTCGTCTCCGTACAGTCGAAAAACGCCAAAATTGACGTAACTACCGCAAAGAGCAGCTTTGAGCATCGAGAAACATATCGAGATCCCCTTCAATTTCAAAGGGTACGTCTGTTCTTTGGGTACTTCTACATTTAATATCCTACTACCTAAAAAAAAACACGTACCTATATGAGATTCATATAAAGCTTCAAGATGAAACACTGACATGATAAAACACAGGGTTATATTTTTTCTATAGTGTTTTTTCGCCTCAGATAGCATCATTTTATACTTTTTCAATCCCCTGAGAGTATTACAGAATAGTATTCCTTGAAATGGACTTTTGATAATAATTAATTTTGAAATTGTACTTGGCGTCAGGAAATGCTTTAAAAAAGATAAAAACTACCTATTTTTCCGGGGTCACGTGACTTGCGCTACAGGTCAGAAGCTTAAATCTCAAGAACTTTTACTGAAATAAGTTGATTTCATTCAGATTTTACACATGTGTCTCAAATTTCCGATTTTTTTAATTTCTGCGAACTGTCTTGAACTTTGGTTAGATATGTGAAGTAGTTTTTTTTTTTTTTCAAAAGAAGTTATTTTTATTTATTTTTTATTTATTTATTTATTGAACAAATAACTTCCAGACAGAATAGGCTCTGGTATAAGGAAGTACATAATTATATACCTATAGGTAAACATAGCATCATTCAAAATATATCAACAACTGTAAATTGGCAAACAAAGAATAATATTTGTAAAAAAAAAGAAAAAAAAAATGGCATGATTAATTTTATCCATGCCGCTGAGAAATAATCAGTTTTTTTACTTCATTTTTGTATATACCTATATTTCTGCAATTTTTTATATTATCAGGTAGTTTATTGAATTCAGTTAAGGCTGAATGAGTGAATCTTTTTTGTCCGATTAGGGAGCTAGCGGCGTCAAGATGGAACAAGTTATATTGTCTAGTTTCATGATTATGAATTTCAGAATTCCGTATCAAAATAATATTCGACTTCAATTTTTTATTTATGATATTATATGATATTTTGAGAGTTTCAATTCTATATATTTCATCTAAAGAATACGTATTTGTTATTTCATACAATTGATTGGTTGGTGTATCAAATGGGAGACGATACAATACTTTTAACGATTTTCTATATTATAATGTTGATATTTTATTGAAATTATTTTTTGAACAAGATGACTTTGGCATCATTTTAGTACTGAAAAAATCCATTTGAATAAAATCGCTTAAACTGCTTTACGATACATCAACTTGGCATCAAATTCTTAGGCTTGCATGTAGATGAACATCTAAATTGGCATACCCATTGTGGATTTCTGATTTCTAAATTGAATTCTGTTCATTGTTCATTGTTTTTACTCCATTGATGAATTTTATTCAGTCAGAACTGTCCAGCTGACTGGATAGCTTTTATTTCAATAATTCCATATGACGTATTACTTTGTTATGTGTTCTTCTAGAATGACCATTCCTATACAAAATGTACTTTCCTCGTTCAAAGGAAAATAAATAGAAAAAAAAAAACAAAAGAAATTTAAAACGGAATTATTATTTTTTATAGAAAATGATATTTTTTCGATAATATGTAACTGTAAGTTAGTAGGATGATGAAGCTACTGGTATGAAACAGTTTTGTCGAAGTTACAATTTTTTTAAATTACATAAATTTCGTAGAAATTGAAAATACACCAAAATCTCAAACTTGCAAAGGAACATTCAAATTTGAGACAGAGTAAAACCGGAATAGAAACAAAATTTCCAATGCATGTTTTCGAAATTCAATCAAATATTTTCAGCGAATAATTAAAAAAACTGTGACTTTTGAGATGTAGTGAATATCACGTGATCCCGGCCGAGGTCACAGAACCTTCTGAAATATTCCTCAGGTGAAGACATTTACATAATTCAGTGTTCTTGAGTTATATCCTAGGTACATTTTATGAATATTTTTGTGCTATCTGAACCGTAATTCTGACTTTATTCATCCTTCTGCACAAAAACAGCCGGAAAAATCGAGAAAAAATAATTTGTCTGGACAACCCTGCACCTTACCCATTGAAAAAGTGGATCAATTATTGATGGAATTTAACAAATACTCACCATAACTACAAATTATCTTACTAGCCTCCCTAAACAATAAAATCCCGTTGGGGGACGAAACGTCGAACTGCAGCCTTTGCGACCTATTTTGTACTAACTCAGCGAACAATTTTAAAACAGGCGTCGTAACTTGCGGATCGTGATACCAAAGTTCCACCGCTCTAAGTAATATCGGAGTGTAGTCTGGATATCTAATCGAAAAGTTGAGAAAAATAGGGTTAGAGACACATTTCATTTTTAGGATACATTGGGCAGACAGGCAAAATGTTCGACTACCGTATTCAAGAACATCTTATGAGTTTTTTGAAACAAAAATAAACTGAATACAGTTGAAAAAACTCATATTATGATGTTCGTTAATGCGGTAGTTGAACGTTCTACCTGTCTGCCCAATATACACTTGCGACAAGATTTCTTAGCAGTGGAATAAGAATTGTTTTATAAGAAAGAAGTTACGAAAAAGGATACATCCAGTCGAAGAGCATCATGTAGGAGGTTTTGGTGTTGAAAGAAAAGGCGAGACCCCGCAAGTCTCTCGCTAATCCTATAAGCGCTTTTTTGGCTTCGTCCGGGGCGAATACCGGAGTATCTGCAGTCGTTAGCAAGGATCCTATGCTTTCGAACGAAGCTGAAACGAAAAAATTCGAAAACGAAAACGTCAGGATGATCAAACTATTTTTACCAATACACGCAAGCCGATTATTATTTCGAAATGTTTCAATATTTTATAGATTTTCGAAACCTTATGAAGGTGTGAAAACGATCCTCATCTTCCCCCAAATCGACCATCAGCAACCTGCCCAGCGACGTGTGGTTGTTCAGCATGAACATCTTTCCCCAATAGCTAAATTATTATTTTAGATTCCCTTGAGAAACATTTGGTGCGCCCCAAAAGATTTGTCGATCGCTCAAATCGACCATCAGCAGATTTATTATATATGGCGCCCCTAAAAAAAAAATTTCGCACGCCTCAAAAGTCGTGATTTCAAAGAAAACGCTGACAAAACTAAAAATTGCGGAAAAAAAATTACCGACCTGTCAGAGGCAACATGAAGGTGTGAAACCGATCCTCATCTTCCCCCAAATCGACCATCAGCAACCTGCCCAGCGACGTGTGGTTGTTTAGCACAAAAATCTTTCCCCAATAGCTAGATTATTATTTCAGATTCCCTTAAAAAAAAATTTGGTACGCCCCAAAAAAGTCATAATTGTATCGAACTAAAAAGAAAATACAGGATTTGTCGATCGCTCTAATCGACCATCAGCAAATTCATTATATATGGCCCCCCTAAAAAAAAAATTCGCACGCCCCAAAAGTAATAACTTCTCGAAATACGCTCACAAAACAAAATTAATTGACTCATCAAAAAATAATCAACCTGTTAGAGGCAACATGAAGGTGTGAAACCGATCCTCATCTTCCCCCAAATCGACCATCAGCAACCTGCCCAGCGACGTGTGGTTGTTCAGCATGGAAATCTTTCCCCAATAGCTAAATTATTATTTCAGATTCCCTTAAGAAAAATTTGATACGCCCCAAAAGTCATAATGTATCGAAATAAACTGAAAATACAGGATTTGTCGATCGTTCAAATCGACCATCAGCAAATTTATTATATATGCCCCCCCCCTAAAAAAAAAATTTTGCACGCCCCAAAAGTCGTAATTTCAAGAAATACGCTGACAAAACTGGAAAATTGTGGAAAAAAAAAATACCGACCTGTTAGAGGCAACATGAAGGTGTGAAACCGATCCTCATCTTCCCCCAAATCGACCATCAGCAAATTTATTATTTATGGCCCCCCTAAAAAAAATTTCGCACGCCCCAAAAGTCATAACTTCTTGAAATACGCTGACAAAACTGAAAAATCGTGGAAAAAAATTACCGACCTGTCAGAGGCAACATGAAGGTGTGACACCGATCCTCATCTTCCCCCAAATCGACCATCAGCAAATTTATTATTTATGGCCCCCCTAAAAAAAAATTCGCACGCCCCAAAAGTCATAACTTCTTGAAAAACGCTGACAAAACTGAAAAATCGTGGAAAAAAATTACCGACCTGTCAGAGGCAACATAAAGGTGTGAAACCGATCCTCATCTTCCCCCAAATCGACCAGCAGCAAATTTATTATTTATGGCCCCCCTAAAAAAAATTTCGCACGCCCCAAAAGTCATAACTTCTCGAAATACGCTCACAAAACAAAATTAATCGACACAAGAAAAAATAACCAACCTGTCAGAGGCAACATGAAGGTGTGAAACCGATCCTCATCTTCCCCCAAATCGACCATCAGCAACCTGCCCAGCGACGTGTAAAACATCGACCGACTCCTCATTTCCGCGATGGCCACCGAATTCCCCAAAAAGGGAAAATGCTCGCTGGTGTGATTGTTCAGCATGAATTGCACCTCGTCCAGCTTCACCAGCTTCCGCACCGAGCTGTAGCCGACGGAGAGATCGTTGAGCAGCTGCAGCGTTTTGCTGATGATTTGTTCGCTGCGGCCCCAATATTTCAGGTTCGTTATGCTGAAAGAGGAGAAATGGAGTTACTGTCATGCGCAGGTTTGAAATGTGTCTGGTGACTCACATTTTCCGAATGAAGACACTCAAAACTGTCGCTTCGTCGTTCAGTCCTAGAGCTTCGCTCAACCTCCTGTACACCTTGGTGTTTTTCTGAACCTAAAGACGAGAAAAAATTGCATCTAGATTTACTGTGTATTTTTGTAATTTATATATTTTTAACCACTAAAAAAATAAATTGCACGACCATGAGCACGTGATTTCTTGATATACGCTGAGAAAAGTTACCGACATGTCTTGATATTCGATTTTCTTTAATTTCGACCCACTAGAAAAATTTGTGCGGCTCCAAGGAGTTTCGTAGCTTCTATTTCTTTGTTTCGTCCCCCTCAGATGAATATTTTTTTGGAATTTTTGCAATTTTCAGGAATTTTTTGCAATTTTTGCTATTTTTGCAATTTTCAGGCATTTTTACGATTTTTGCAACTTTTCAGGAATTTTTGCGATTTTTGTGATTTTCAGGCAATCTTGCCAATTTTGCAATTTTCAGGCATTTTTGCGATTTTTGCAATTCTCAGGAATTTTTGAAATTTTTGCTATTTTTGCAATTTTCAGGCATTTTTGCGATTTTTGCAATTTTCAGGAATTTTTGCAATTTTTGCAATTTTCAGGAATTTTAAACAATTTTTGCAATTTTCAGGCATTTTTGCGATTTTTGCAATTTTCAGGAATTTTGGCGATTTTCAGGCATTTTTGCGTTTTTTGCAATTTTAGCAATTTTTGCAATTTTCAGGAATTTTGCAATTTCTGCAATTTTCAGGAATTTTTGCGATTTTTGCAATTTTCGGGAATTTTTGCAGTTTTTGCTATTTCTGCAATTTTCAGGAATTTTTGCAATTTTCAGGAATTTTTGAAATTTTTGCAATTTTCAGGAATTTTTTGCAATTTTTGCTATTTTTGCAATTTTCAGACATTTTTGCGATTTTTGCAACTTTTCAGGAATTTTTGCGATTTTTGTGATTTTCAGGCAATCTTGGCAATTTTGCAATTTTCAGGCATTTTTGCGATTTTTGCAATTCTCAGGAATTTTTGAAATTTTTGCAATTTTCAGGCATTTTTGCGATTTTTGCAATTTTCAGGAATTTTTGCAATTTTTGCAATTTTCAGGAATTTTAAACAATTTTTGCAATTTTCAGGCATTTTTGCGATTTTTGCAATTTTCAGGAATTTTGGCGATTTTCAGGCATTTTTGCGTTATTTGCAATTTTAGCAATTTTTGCAATTTTCAGGAATTTTGCAATTTCTGCAATTTTCAGGAATTTTTGCGATTTTTGCAATTTTCGGGAATTTTTGCAGTTTTTGCTATTTCTGCAATTTTCAGGAATTTTTGCAATTTTCAGGAATTTTTGAAATTTTTGCAATTTTCAGGAATTTTTTGCAATTTTTGCTATTTTTGCAATTTTCAGGCATTTTTGCGATTTTTGCAACTTTTCAGGAATTTTTGCGATTTTTGTGATTTTCAGGCAATCTTGCCAATTTTGCAATTTTCAGGCATTTTTGCGATTTTTGCAATTCTCAGGAATTTTTGAAATTTTTGCTATTTTTGCAATTTTCAGGCATTTTTGCGATTTTTGCAATTTTCAGGAATTTTTGCAATTTTTGCAATTTTCAGGAATTTTAAACAATTTTTGCAATTTTCAGGCATTTTTGCGATTTTTGCAATTTTCAGGAATTTTGGCGATTTTCAGGCATTTTTGCGTTTTTTGCAATTTTAGCAATTTTTGCAATTTTCAGGAATTTTGCAATTTTCAGGAATTTTTGCGATTTTTGCAATTTTCGGGAATTTTTGCAGTTTTTGCTATTTCTGCAATTTTCAGGAATTTTTGCAATTTTCAGGAATTTTTGAAATTTTTGCAATTTTCAGGAATTTTTTGCAATTTTTGCTATTTTTGCAATTTTCAGGCATTTTTGCGATTTTTGCAATTTTCAGGAATTTGCGATTTTTGTAATTTTCAGGCATTCTTGCGATTTCTGCAATTTTCAGGCATTTTTGCGATTTTTGCAATTTTCAGGAATTTTTGCAATTTTAGAGATTTTTGCAATTTTCAGGAATTTCTGCGATTTTTGCAATTTTCAGGAATTTTTGCAATTTTTGCAATTTTCAGGAATTTTTGCGATTTTAGCAATTTTTAGGAATTTTTGCAGTTTTTGCAATTTTCAGGAATTTAGGCAATTTTTGCAATTTTCAGGAAAGTTTGCAATTTTTGCTATTTTTGCAATTTTCAGGCATTTTTGCGATTTTTGCAATTTTCAGGAATTTTTGCGATTTTCAGGCATTTTAGCAATTTCTGCAATTTTCAGGAATTCTTGCAATTTTCAGGAATTTTTGAAATTTCTGCAATTTTCAGGAATTTTTTGCAATTTTTGCTGTTTTTGCAATTTTCAGGCATTTTTGCTATTCTTGCAATTTTCAGGCATTTTTGCGATTTTCGCAATCTTCAGGAATTTTTGCGATTTTTGCAATTTTCAGTAATTTTCGCAATTTATGCAATTTTCAGGAATTTTTGAAATTTTTGCAATTTTCAGGAATTTTCAGGAATTTTTTGCAATTTTTGCAATTTTCAGGCATTTTTGCGATTTTTGCAATTTTCAGGAATTTTTGCGATTTTTGTGATTTTCAGGCATTCTTGCAATTTCTGCAATTTTCAGGCATTTTTGCGATTTTTGCAATTTTCAGGAATTTTTGCGATTTTTTGCAATTTTCAGGAATTTTTGCGATTTTTGCTATTTTCAGGAATTTTTGCAATTTTTGCAATTTTCAGGAATTTTGGCAATTTTTGCAATTTTCAGGAATTTTTGCATTTTTTGCAATTTTCAGGAAATTTTGCAATTTTCAGGAATTTTTGCAATTTTTGCAATTTTTGCTATTTTTGCAATTTTCAGGCATTTTTGCGATTTTTGCAATTTTCAGGAATTTTTGCAATTTCTGTAATTTTCAGGAATTTTTGCAATTTTTGCGATTTTTGCAATTTTCAGGAATTTTTGCAATTTTTGCAATTTTCAGGAATTTTTGCAATTTTCAGGAATTTTTGCAGTTTTTGCTATTTTTGCAATTTTCAGGAATTTTTGCGATTTTTGCAATTTTCAGGAATTTTTGCGATTTTTTTAATTTTCAGGCATTCTTGCAATTTCTGCAATTTTCAGGCATTTTTGCGATTTTTGCAATTTTCAGGAATCTGCAATTTTTGCGATTTTCAGGAATTTTTGAAATTTTTGCAATTTTCAGGAATTTTTTGCAATTTTTGCTGTTTTTGCAATTTTCAGGCATTTTTGCGATTTTTGCAATTTTCAGGAATTTTTGCGATTTTTGCAATTTTCAGGAATTTTTGCAATTTTTGCAATTTTTGCAATTTTCAGGAATTTTAGAAGTTTTTGCAATTTTCAGGAATTTTTGGCAATTTTTGCTATTTTGCAATTTTCAGGCATTTTTGCGATTTTCGAATTTTCAGGAATTTTTGCGATTTTTGTGATGTTCAGGCATTTTTGCGATTTTTGCAATTTTCAGGAATTTTTGCAATTTTTGCGATTTTCAGGAATTTTTGCGATTTTTGCAATTTTCAGGAATTTTTGCAATTTTTGCAATTTTCAGGAATTTTGGCAATTTTTGCAATTTTCAGGAATTTTTGCAATTTTGGCAATTTGCAGGAAATCTTGCAATTTTTACAATTTTTGCAATTTTCAGGAATGTTTGCGATTTTTGCTATTTTCAGGAATTTTTGCAATTTTTGCAATTTTCAGGAATTTTTGCAATTTTTGCGATTTTTGCGATTTTTGCAATTTTCAGGAATTTTTGCGATTTTTGTGATTTTCAGGCATTTTTGCGATTTTTGCAATTTTCAGGAATTTTTGCAATTTTTGCGATTTTCAGGAATTTTTGCGATTTTTGCAATTTTCAGGAATTTTTGCAATTTCTGCAATTTTCAGGAATTTTGTCAATTTTTGCAATTTTCAGGAATTTTTGCAATTTTCAGGAAATCTTGCAATTTTTGCAATTTTCAGGAATTTTTGCAATTTTCAGGAATTTTTGCAATTTTTGCAATTTTCAGGAATTTTTGCAATTTTTGCAACTTTCAGGAATTATTGCAGTTTTTGCTATTTTTGCAATTTTCAGGAATTTTTGCGATTTTTGCAATTTTCAGGAATTTTTGCGATTTTTGTAATTTTCAGGCATTCTTGCAATTTCTGCAATTTTCAGGCATTTTAGCGATTTTTGCAATTTTCAGGAATCTTTGCAATTTTTGCGATTTTTGCAATTTTCAGGAATTTTTGCAATTTTTGCAATTTTCAGGAATTTTGGCAATTTTTGCAATTTTCAGGAATTTTTGCAATTTTTGCAATTTTCAGGAAATCTTGCAATTTTTGCAATTTTCAGGAATTTTTGCAATTTTTGCTATTTTTGCAATTTTCAGGCATTTTTGCGATTTTTGCAATTTTCAGGAATTTGTGCAATTTTCAGGAATTTTTGCAATTTTTTCAATTTTCAGGAATTTTTGCAATTATTGCGATTTTTGCAATTTTCAGGAATTTTTGCAATTTTTGCAATTTTCAGGAATTTTTGCAGTTTTTGCTATTTCTGCAATTTTCAGAAATTTTTGCGATTTTTGTGATTTTCAGGCATTTTTGCGATTTTTGCAATTTTCAGGAATTTTTGCAATTTTTGCGATTTTCAGGAATTTTTGCGATTTTTGCAATTTTCAGGAATTTTTGCAATTTTTGCAATTTTCAGGAATTTTGGCAATTTTTGCAATTTTCAGGAATTTTTGCAATTTTGACAATTTGCAGGAAATCTTGCAATTTTTGCAATTTTCAGGAATTTTTGCTATTTTTACGATTTTTGCAATTTTCAGGAATGTTTGCAATTTTTGCTATTTTCAGGAATTTTTGCAATTTTTGCAATTTTCAGGAATTTTGGCAATTTTTGCAATTTTCAGGAATTTTTGCAATTTTTGCGATTTTTGCGATTTTTGCAATTTTCAGGAATTTTTGCGATTTTTGTGATTTTCAGGAATTTTTGCGATTTTTGTGATTTTCAGGCATTTTTGCGATTTTTGCGATTTTCAGGAATTTTTGCGATTTTTGCAATTTTCAGGAATTTTTGCAATTTCTGCAATTTTCAGGAATTTTGTCAATTTTTGCAATTTTCAGGAAATCTTGCAATTTTTGCAATTTTCAGGAATTTTTGCAATTTTCAGGAATTCTTGCAATTTTTGCAATTTTCAGGAATTTTTGCAATTTTTGCAATTTTCAGGAATTTTTGCAATTTTCAGGAATTTTTGCAATTTTCAGGAATTATTGCAGTTTTTGCTATTTTTGCAATTATCAGGAATTTTTGCGATTTCTGCAATTTTCAGGAATTTTTGCGATTTTTGTAATTTTCAGGCATTCTTGCAATTTCTGCAATTTTCAGGCATTTTAGCGATTTTTGCAATTTTCAGGAATCTGCAATTTTTGCGATTTTTGCAATTTTCAGGAATTTTTGCGATTTTTGCAATTTTGAGGAATTTTTGCAATTTTTGCAATTTTCAGGAATTTTGGCAATTTTTGCAATTTTCAGGAATTTTTGCAATTTTTGCAATTTTCAGGAAATCTTGCAATTTTTGCAATTTTCAGGAATTTTTGCAATTTTTGCTATTTTTGCAATTTTCAGGCATTTTTGCGATTTTTGCAATTTTCAGAAATTTGTGCAATTTTCAGGAATTTTTGCAATTTTTTCAATTTTCAGGAATTTTTGCAATTATTGCAATTTTTGCAATTTTTGCAATTTTCAGGAATTTTTGCAGTTTTTGCTATTTTTGCAATTTCATCAATTTTCAGGAATTTGTCAATTTTTGCAATTTTCAGGAATTTTTGCAATTTTCAGGAAATCTTGCAATTTTTGCAATTTTCAGGAATTTTTGCAATTTTCAGGAATTTTTGCAATTTTCAGGAATTTTTGCAATTTTTGCAATTTTCAGGAATTTTTGCAATTTTCAGGAATTATTGCAGTTTTTGCTATTTTTGCAATTTTCAGGAATTTTTGCGATTTCTGCAATTTTCAGGAATTTTTGCAATTTCTGCAATTTTCAGGCATTTTAGCGATTTTTGCAATTTTCAGGAATTTTTGTGATTTTCGCAATTTTCAGGAATTTTTGCAATTTTTGCAATTTTCAGGAATTTTGGCAATTTTTGCAATTTTCAGGAATTTTTGCAATTTTTGCAATTTTCAGGAATTTTTGCAATTTTTGCAATTTTCAGGAATTTTTGCAATTTTTGCTATTTTTGCAATTTTCAGGCATTTTTGCGATTTTTGCAATTTTCAGGAATTTTTGCAATTTTCAGGAATTTTTGCAATTTTTGCAATTTTCAGGAATTTTTGCAATTTTTGCAATTTTTGCGATTTTTGCAATTTTCAGGAATTTTTGCAATTTTTGCAATTTTCAGGAATTTTTGCAGTTTTTGCTATTTTTGCAATTTTCAGGAATTTTTGCAATTTTTGCAATTTTCAGGAATTTTTGCAATTTTTGCAATTTTCAGGAATTTTTGCGATTTTTGCAATTTTCAGGAATTTTTGCGATTTTTGTAATTTTCAGGCATTCTTGCAATTTCTGCAATTTTCAGGCATTTTAGCGATTTTTGCAATTTTCAGGAATCTGCAATTTTTGCGATTTTTGCAATTTTCAGGAATTTTTGCAATTTTTGCAATTTTCAGGAATTTTGGCAATTTTTGCAATTTTCAGGAATTTTTGCAATTTTTGCAATTTTCAGGAAATCTTGCAATTTTTGCAATTTTCAGGAATTTTTGCAATTTTTGCTATTTTTGCAATTTTCAGGCATTTTTGCGATTTTTGCAATTTTCAGGAATTTTTGCAATTTTTGCAATTTTCAGGAATTTTTGCAGTTTTTGCTATTTTTGCAATTTTCAGGAATTTTTGCGATTTTTGCAATTTTCAGGAATTTTTGCAATTTTTGCAATTTTCAGGAATTTTTGCAGTTTTTGCTATTTTTGCAATTTTCAGGAATTTTTGCGATTTTGGCAATTTTCAGGAATTTTTGCAATTTTTGCAATTTTCAGGAATTTTTTGCAATTTTCAGGAAACGCCCATGGAGTCGCATTTAGATATTCATTCATGTGGTATCGATGAAATTTCGAAATTTTCATGACCCCTTCAGAAAAAAAAATAGTACGCCCCACGAAACTAAGAATGAACAATAGAGTGAACGAGAGAACATATAAAGGAACAATGAATGAAGAAAACAATGATTGAAAGAAAAAAGAAAACTAGAAAACAAAGAATAAAAAACAAGTAACAAATTATCAGAAAGACAAAGAATCAAATAAACAAAAGATTGAAAAATAAATAAATGAGTGAGATAAATGAAACACAAGAACAAAAAGACATATAATTGAAGAAACAGGGAACATATACAGGGTGATCCACAGTGGATGGCCAAATAGAAGTATCTGGAGAACGAAAAGACAGAACATTCTTAAAATTGGGATGCTTTGATAATTGAACATTCTCTATCCGTATAAAATATTTTCATCGATACAGTGTTGCCACTTCTATCAGAAACAACTAGCGACTTTGTTATTTCAAATAGAGCACCCTGTATTTGATTACATTTTTAGATTCTTCCTAAAGAGCTGATTTCATCAATCCATCACACTTGGGGTCTAGCAGGAATGATTACACAGAGATATAGGGTGTTCAAAATCGAGATTTTACAAACATTAGGATTTTTTTGTGTCGAAAGTATTCATTATCGACCAAAACGGCTTACATGTCCCAATCTCAACTTTCGATTCACTATCTACTGACATTTAATTGGAACAGATACAGGGTGATCAGAATTCTGATCTTGAAGCACCCTGTATTTTTTTCAATCAAATTCCAGTAGATAGTGAATCAAAAGTTAAGATAGGGACATGTAAGCCGTTTTGATCGAAAATGAATAGTTTCCATACAAAAATCCTAATGTTGAGAAATCTCGATTTTGAACACCCTATATCTCTGTAATCATTCCTGCTAGACCCCAAGTGTGACGCATTGATGAAGTCAGCTCTTCAGGAAGAATCTAAAAATGCGATAAAATACAGGGTGTTCCATTTGAAATAACAAAGTTGCTAGTTGTTTCTGATAGAAGTGGCAACACTGTATCGATGAAAATATTTCAGACGGATAGAGAATGTTCAATTATCAAAGCATCCCAATTTTCAGAATGTTCTGTCTTCTTGTTCTCCAGATACTTCTAATAGGCCATCCACCGTGTGTCACCCTGTATATAAAAGGACAATGAATGAATAAACCAATCACCAAAGCAAAGATCATACATACCGTATGTATGAATGATCTTTGACCAAAGGAATCAAATGCATTGGGAAACAAATAAATGAAAAAAAAAAAAATTGAAAACAAAAACAATGGAATAAAAAACAGAGAATGAGAAGAATCAAATAAAAAAAATAAGAAAGAACAAAAACAAAATAAATAAGAGAACAAAGAAACAAAATATGGAGAGAAAGAAACAAAAGGACAAGTACAAAGAATCAGAAAACACAGAAAAACAAACACGGAACCATCGAAGCTGACCTGATCGCCGACGTATATCTTGCGGAACTGTTCGAAAAAGCTGAGCATCGCCAGCTCCAGCTTCTCGCAGCCGCCTTGGACCAGTCTTGAATCAGTCAAGTTCATCAGCTGCAAAACGCGACACACCAATTCGCCGTCCATGGTGTCGTGCTCCTCGTTGCTGTTGAAGGACACTCGGCCGCCGATGGCGCTGCCTATCACGTACACCAACCATGTCAGCTGACCTGGAAATGAAGAAGAACGTCGTCGATTGCTTAGGGGGATTTTCAAGATTTTTTGGGATTTTAGACTCCCTTAGAAAAAAAAATTGGTACGCCCTTGGAGTAGTGGAAATTTCGAATCTCGATCATTTTCCAGATTTCAGACCACCTCAGAAAAAAAAAATTGTACGCCTATGCAGTCGTGAGTTTTAGCCTGTCTGGTAGTTTCGAAGAAATTCAGAATTTCAGATCCCTTCAGAAAAAAAAAATTGGTATGCTCATGGTCACGGTTTTGTTCTATCTTCCGGGTGGTGTCGAGGAAATTTCGAATCTCGGATAATTTTTCATTTTACTCACAGAAAAAAAAATTTACGCGCATGAGTTCGTGATTTTGTTTTATCTATCGGGTGGTGTCAACCTATAAAACGAAAAACAAAAAATCTTGGTCGATTACTACGACGGAATTTGAAAATTTTCGGATTTTAGACCTCTCAAAATACACTTTCGGTACGCCCATGAAATCGTGGTTTTGTTGTCTCTTAGGTGGTGTCGAAGAAATTCACATTCTCGATCACGTTTCATTTTTGACCCTCTCAGAAACAAAAATTGGTACGTCCATGGAGTCGTGGTTTTGTTTTGGTTTTCGGATGTGTCGAGAAAATACAGAATATCGATCATTTTTCATAACACCTCAGAAAAAAAAAATTCGCATGGTGTCAAAGAAATTAATTTCGAATCTCGATTATTTTTCGATATAGACACCCTCAGAATTAAAAATGATACGCCCATGGAGTCGTCGTTTTGTTTTGTCGTTCGGGTGGAGTCGAAGACATTCCGAATCTTGGTCATTTTTCATTTTACATCCCCAAGAAAACGAAAAAAAAAAAAAAATTTGGTCGATTACTACGACAGAATTTCAAATTTTTCGGATTTTATACCTCAACATTTTTGGTATGCCCGTGGTTTTGTTTTCTCACAGGTGGCGTTGGAAAAATCCCGATTCTCCATCACTTTTTATTTTAGACCCTCCCAGAAAAAAAAATGGTACGTCCATGGAGTCGTGGTTTTGTTTTGGTTTTCGGATGTGCCGGGAAAATTCAGAATCTCGATAATTTTTTATTACATAAACCCCGCAGAAAAAAAAATTGTACGCCCATGAGGTTTTGTCCTTCGGGTAGCGTCAGAAAAAAGTTTGGTAGGTAAGCTAGTGATTTTGTTTTGAATTTTGAGTGGTGTCTAAGAAATTGCAAATCTCGATCATTTTTTATTTTACACAGAAAATGAAATGGTACGCCCATGAAGTCATAGTTGAGTTTTGTCTTTCGGGTGATGAAGAAGAAAATTAGATTCTCGATCACTTTTCATTTCAGACCCCCTCAGAAAAAAATTGGTACGCCCATGTAGTCGTGGTTTCGTCTTTTCTCAGCTGGTGTCGAGGATATACCGAATATCAATTATTTTTTATTTAAGGCACCCTCTGAAAAGAGAACGGTACGCCTATGGAGTCGTGGTTTTGTTTTCCTTTCGGATGGTGTCGACGAAATTCAAAATTCGAGCATTATTTATTTCAGACACCCTCAGAAAAAAAAATGGTACGCCTATGAGTCATGGATTTGTTTTTCTTTCGGATGCTATCGAGAAAATTAAAATTGTCGATCACTTTTAATTTTAGAGATCCCAAGAAAAAAAAATAGTACGCCCATGGAATCGTGGTTTTGTTTTGTCTTTCAAGAGGTGAAGTTTGAAATTCCAGTAATATTTTATTCCTGCTGAATACGCACCTGACATTTTCAAGATTTCTGTTCCCCTGAGAAAAACATTTTGAACGCCCATGGAGAAGCAATTTCATTTTTGTTTCGGAAGGGGTGAATTTTCGAAATTCGGTAATTTTTCATTTTTGATGTCCTGAGGAAAATAAAATTAGCACGCAATTGAAATTTTTCAGACATTATGGCCCCTTAAAAATCGTTTGGCACGCCCCACAAATCACAATTTTGTAGATTCTTGAAATTCCAAGTCTTATATCTGAAAATTTTCAAAAAATTTTTTTGGTTTTGGTTCCAACAATGACTAACTTTCAAACACCCTGTATGCGCAAAATATTTATCATAACATATGTTGAAAGTGAGGAAAAAGGCTCATTCCAAGAATTGGGAGCCACTTTGGATAACTGTCATAAATTAGGTATGTTGCTAAAAATATGCATTTCAAGTGTTTTCCTCAGAAATGGAATTGAAGTGTTTTTTCAATTTTTCATAACATTCACTGAAATTAAGATATTATCGGGTGGGAAGTTTTTTAAGTGACACGACATTTTTCGAAAACTGCTCGACAGAAAATGATTAACTAGGATACCGTTGAAAAGATAATTGAACGCCATTCAAAATCTACCCCTCTTGGGGGTTGAACTAAGAGAGCTAAAACTAATCATTTCAAGTGTCCCCCTTGAAATTAAAATCGACCTGTTTTTCCGAATTCTCATATTATTCACTGCAAGGAAGATGTTGAGGGTGGGGAGATTTCAAAATGTCACCCTGTATAAAAAATAATACTCATATTTTCATTGAATCAAGATTATTTTTATTTAATTAGTACTCTGGTCAGTTGAGGATTGAACAATGCTTGGTGTGGTGTTGAAACTTTCTAGTAGTCGATACTCACCTTCTTGTATAGTAATATCTATCTGTCTACTAGGCGTCCCCAATAATTCTGAGTAACTCCTCACAGCCTGATCGAAAAGCTGCACCAGCAACATGAACGTCTTCTGGTACTCACACCTGAATATTATAACAGAATTTAATGTAACAAGAACAAAAAATATAAATATATTTCGGATGATTTGCTATGGCATTATAGCATTCCAGCGCCGAGTCGGAAATATTTTTTCGGTCGTTCAACATGCATCGTTTTTTATTCAACTTGTGCATAGCAAAATAATTTAGTTACCAAGCAACCACAAATGAAAAATGAAGTTACCAAGCAACCAGACAAAAACATATAACAGAAAAAAGATAAAAACAGCAACTTGGATATCAATTTTCATGAACTATTGTATTTTTGCTCACCCTGTAACGATAAGTACAAGTTGAAGTTGGAAGTATTAATTGTTTTCATTGATTTCTAACGCCCTTGTATAAGCTTTCATGGTGCCAAAATTCAGTGTGGATGGAGATTGAAAAAGCCCCAAAATTTCTTGAAAACTACATTAAAATTTGGAGTCAAATCGAATTTTTATTGTTTCCACAAAAACTAATCTAGATACAAAAGTAACACAAAGGATGAAAAAGTTGTTATTTCAATAGATCGATCTGATAAACGATAAAATCAGAAAATCCAGTGGCGTACAATGATATTCGCCATGAATATCGATAAATTTACCCACTGTGACGCCACTGTAAATATTATTTCGAATCTATTTGCACTAGAAGAATCTTCATATAACTATTGACAAAACCACAACGTTTTATTGAAATTGATGAAAAGACAATTGGGTAATGAATAAAAAAGCGATCTTCCATGGAAATATTTATACCCTGTATCTCGAAAACGAAGCAGGTTAGGACACATGTTTATATGAACTTTATTACCTAAAATATCACAAGGAATTACCCCTTGAATTTTTTTCGGTGTTCTTTAGATACACCCTGTATATTAGATTATAATACATTTCTTTTCACCCCCTACTTCTGATATCTTTTTAAGTCATAGATAAAATTTCATTGTTCACAAATTTTTTCGGTGTTTTTTAGATAAACCCTGTATATTAGATTATAATACATTTCTTTTCACCCCCTATTTCCGATATCTTTTCTAGTCATAGATAAAATTTCATTGTTCCCGAATTAATCGGTTAGATTGATGACGTAACAAATTAGTCATTTTTAGAATGATGAATCGAACCAATGAGTAGTCTAGTTCTAGATTTCATCGAGAACGGTCGATTCAAGTGATATAGAAAAAGAACTCGAATTATTTAAAAGTGGAAAATTGAAGTTCATCTTCGGTTCAGTGATTGTGTTTTCATTTGAGTGTATGAAAGTTGGCTTTTTTCAAGATGGTGAGTGTTTTTATATATGATTATGCATGCATCTAATGTCCCTTGCACCTAAAAAAAGTGAAAATGACACAACTATCTCAACTAAAACGTACATGAAATTCGGAAGGAAATTTTACTTTGTCTTCACGGATATCAGGAGGAAAATATAAGAATCAAACTACAAATAATTTCAATTTCCAAGGCATGCTGCAACTTAAACACCCTGTATTCACAGGTTTCGATACAAAAGAAGTGGACAACTTCATTTCATATCATTTCCAAAGCAAGAATTGATGAAATCGTAGATAAAATAGGTTAAAATAGGTCGATATTTGATTCTGATTTACTGTTTTCAAAATAATAATCTAATATACCGGGCGACCTAACTTCATGTAAGTTGTTATGACTTTGCAATAGTTTTTCGAATGGGTTACCTCATTTTTATTCAATTTTTGGATTTTCCCTACCGAGTTGATTTCAAACATTTATCACACGTTTCTTCAAATTGGTACAGGGTGGGCAAAAATACAATAGCTTATGAAAATTGATATCGAAGATCCGACATAATATATCATGAATTTTTAATATTTATGTTCTTTTCTCTGATGATTAATAAATGTGCTACTTAAAACTCTTATTTTCGGAAGATGGAATTTTTGACTTTGTATTTTCTGATAGGAAATGTCTGATTAGACAGCTTTCAGTTGAAAAAGTAAGAAATGTTTATGAAATCCTGATTTGCACAAATTTAATAACAAAAAAAATCCATATAATGCGGACTTCAACGGTGACACTGTATATTAAATTTCCTTTCACCTTACCCCGTATACGTACTATCGATATCGGAATTAGTCATATGTGTTCGGGAATTAATCGGTTGAAAGGATGACGTAACTAATTAGTCATGAGAATGATTGTGAATCCAAATAATCAGTAGTCTCGTTCTAGATTTCATCGAGTACGGTCACTTCAAGTGATATAGAAAAAAAAACTCGAATTACTTAAAAGTGAAAAATTGAAGTTCATCTTCGGTTTAGTGATTGTGTTTTCATTTGAGTGAGTGAAAGTTGGATTTTTTCAAGATGGTGAGTATTTTTGTATATGATTATGGAGGTAGTTTTCATAAAGTGGTTATTTTGCTTTGCTATATTTCCATATTCCGTATAACGATGAAAAAATTTGAAACTAGTTATTTTTCCAATACTTATATACTGCGGAACTAGATGGATAAATGCAGCAAATTACGAAAATATTCGCCATTTTCATTGAGAATGAAATACTGAAAGCAACTTGCCATGCATCTAATGACCCTTGTACCTAAAAAAAGTGAAATGACACAACTAACTCAACTAAAATGTACATGAAATTCGGAAGGAGCTTTAACTTTGTCTTCACGGATATCAGGAGGAAAATATAAGAAGAATCAAACTTCAAATAATTTCAATTTTTAAGACATGCTGATTGCAAACTAAAACACCCTATATTGACAGGTTTCGATAGAAAAGAAGTGGACAACTTCATTTCATATTATTTCCAAAGTGAGAATCGATTTGATTCACAGTTTTCAAAATAATAATCTAATATACAGGACGACATGCGAAGTGTCATGACTTTGCAATAGTTTTTTTTTGAACATATACAGGGTGGTTCAAGATTCAGAATTCTCATCACCCCTGTATCTGTACCAATTAAATGTCAGTAGATAGTAAATCAAAAGTTATAATTTACCAATAATCAATACTTTCGACACAAAAAATCGTAAAGTGGAAAAATCTCGATTTTGAACACCCTATATATCTCTCTAATCATTTCCACCATACCCCAAGTGTGATGCATTGATGAAATCAGCTCTTGAGGAAGAATCTAATACAGGGTATTCCATTTGAAATAATAAAGTTGCTAGTTGTTTCTGATAAAAGTGGCAACACTGTATCGATGAACATATTTTAGACGGATAGAGAATGTACAAGGAAGAATTTCAACATCAATAAAATACAAGGTGTTCCATTTGAAACAACAAAGTTGTTGCTACTTTTCGTTAGAAGAGCTGAAAATATTTTAGAACAATGTCCCCCTCGAAAATGTAGTTGACGTGTTCAAGTGTTTTTTTTTTTTATAATCCGGTTCTGGCAACCTACAGAGCCTCTGTTTCGTTTTAATGGGCAACTTTGTATGCAGGGGACCTAGATGAATAAATGCAGCAAATTGCGAAAGTATTCGCCATTTTGTTAAGAGTTAACACAAATATTTTGAAATTTCGCATTCTTTTAGGATGAAATAATTTTCTTTGTTTACTTATACAGAGGTACTGAAAGTAGGCATTGAAATGAGTTGCAAAAACATTCGTCATTTCATAGAGACTTCATAGGCAGTACTTATGAGCATACAAAACTAACCGAAATTTGGTATACCACGTGCTTCAACACATAAAATTTAATGAAATAACAAATAATCACAAGAATAATTTTTGTAAGCTTGCTACAATATTACGAATTTATGTTTTCCAATTAATATACAGGGAGTTTCTCCAATTTATTTCAATTACAAGTTGCAAAAATATTCGTCTTTTTGTTTAGAGTCTACACAAATATTCAAAAATTTTGTATTCACTAAGGAAGAAATAATTCGCTTTCTTTACTCATACAGATGTACTAAGAGTAGATGTTCTTGGAACATTAATGGGACCCCTTTCGTCCAAGCGATAAAAAATTATAATAATCCTGTTTTCAGCAATTAATTCGGGAAAAAAATAACTTTTGACATGAAGTGACCCTGATCGAGCTGGCCATTTTTTTAAAGTAAAACCTTATGACCAAGTAAAATTTCAAACTAAATTATTAAAAGTTTTTCCATATGGCGCAAGTTTTATACATTACCCTGTATATCTTTTGGAAGATTCGCATTATTTTTTTTAAGTAATACTACTTGAGAAAATCTTTCAGGTTCCCAAATTTTTCTGACAATTTCGGAATTGCACTGCTCGCCACTGATGGTAATCACATTTGACCTTTAAGTGTTCCTCTGGTAGCTTTTTCGCTCCTACTCATTTCAGAATCCAATCTCCCTAATCATTTGTACTGTACTACTAGGTGCGTTCGGTTTAACAAAATCGGAGCCGAGCGAGCAGATGCAGATTTGGTGTCACGTGATCACCTAGCAGATAGAGCTAAAGATATTTAACGAACGCTCAACGAGGTAGTAGATTGCAGATTGCAGAAGTAACACAACAGAAACAATTCACTTAACCTTATTACTTTTAAAAACACTTCAGGGCAACAAAGTTTTTTTGAATGTTTGTTGTTTATATTTTGAAAATTACTAGGGAAGGAATGATTCTGTCTAATATGATCGGTCATTAACTGTGGATCCAGGGCAGTTGTGATCGCATATATTACAGATATATAATTAATATGCTACCTACAGCAAATTCGTCGGTCATTCTGGCGATTCTGGGCAATGAGGATTCTACAAAATTCAGTTTTGTGTTTCGTTTCCAGTTGATCGAGTCTTCAATTTTTCGTCATAAAAGAGATATAATTTCAATAACATGTTGTTGACATTGATTTGTTGACAATTGACAACCGAATAACCGATCAAATCTGAATGATCTGCTCCTCAAGGCGGAGCAAACAGATTTCATCTTTCAGCTCGCTCTGACAATTAACGAACACGGAGCAGATTAGACAGAGGAAGTAGATCTGATTTATCGAACGCTTTCCGAGCTAACAGATGGAATCGAGC